AATATGATGAATTGATGAGTTAATAAAGTACTCCTTCTCCTGCCATTTCATCATCCCGAAAGCGTAAGATGAGTCCAATAAAACAATCTATGTCGCTGATAGCATCATGATAGTTCGTTCCTCTGATTGTTACAGTAACTCCGGGGCCATATCGGATTATATAATTTCGATTGAAGAACGCCAAGAACGCAGTTGTGTTAGTGTGCCCGCTCTATTTCTCTATCATGGATCTCCTTTAATGACTGCTATTATGACTTTCTAGGCTTATCCGTCAAGATGGGTGTAATTATAAAATCTGCCTACTTTTATTTCTCATAATTACTTCTAGTAGTATATTATGAGCTACTGATAAAGAAAGATACTGCGTTATGTTGTACGAGATAAAAAACAAATTGTAATTCATTCAACATGAGCTAATTGGTTTTTATCTATTTCTATCAGTTTAATTTTTTTTTTTGCTTTTAAGAATACAAAAAATGTGATTTTTTGTTTAATATAGGTATATATTATGGTAATAGCCGCACAAATATGGCGCCTACAACAAACTATAAGATAACTCATAGTTAGGCGTCCTAGACCAGAATGCTACGAGTTTTCTCCTTGATGGGTAGTGAATGTGTTAAATAATCATTTCATTAAGTTGTCAAATAAAATTTATTACAATCTTCCATATTATTTGGGATGAACACTAATATACACTTATATTACATACGTATATTCATAGATCATTTATTTAAATGTAGGAGTATACACTCCCAGCAGAATAATAACAACACAGACCCTTCCGCTATAGAACGGATTTTCAGAAAGCTAAACCTAATTAAACATTACATGAGGATAATTGAGGCGTTGCAATGGAAGAGATAATAGGGGAAAAAAAATCATTTTTCAATTTTTTTATTAAAAAGGTAGCAAGTTGTCATGCCAGGTAGGAGATTACTTCGAAACCAGTAATCATTTAGTTTCTATCAACGGCTTTCTTATATATATTTTTTTAATTTATTTTTTGAGTAGTATAATATTCTATCACTTGTACAATAATTATAGTGATGTAAAACTACATCTACACTATACATACACAAATATAAATTAAACAGAAGCAAAATAATAATAAAAAACATTAAAGTAAAAAAAATAAAGTGTCAAAATAGTTTTTTGCTTATCCTAAAAAATAACGTTTTCATGACTTACTACATCTTCCATGGCAACGCCTGAATTACTAAAATTAAGGAATCTGAGTATAATCTCCATAGAGCACAAATGAACTATCATAAGAAGAAACCACAAAAGTTTTAGTTGCAAAGCTCGAAAAGTTGAATTTTAATATTGTAATTTGTACATGTACATCATTTTGATATTATATTTTATTTTATTTTTTGTTTTTACGATATCGGTTTGTTTTTCAAGCCTCGTGTCAGTCAATAAAATCATTTACCGTTATAATACAATATTCACTTTAAAATATATTACTTTTCTTTTCTTTTTTCTTCCCTACCTCGCCTTTTAGGCTATACGAGATTTACCCGTGCCAGGGAGTGAGGGCGGGGGATTAATGCCAGAGTTAAAAACTCACCAGCACCGAGACGTAAAATCGTATTTTTATTATTATCTTTAATTCGGTTATCAGGTTGTTGGTCAACGTGAGGTGCTGAACACACGCGTTAGCCCATTCGGCCACCCCGAATCCTACAAAATATAATATTACAAAATCCTAAAATACAATAATAAAAATGTCGACTTTATTATGGATTCAAAATGGAGTCAAAATTATGCTTGTCCTTGATTAATAAATCCTAGTTCCAACCCATATCAGTTACTATTAGATTTTACATCTTTGTAAGATATAAATAAAGAAAAGCGCCTCGTAAGTTTTTATTTTATATCTTCGGTTAAAATTTACTGAGTTTGCATTGAAGTCATCTCGTATCGTATGTCTATAAAGCAATTAAAATAAATTAAATTTTTAAAATCGCCCTTCTCCCTTGTGGGTTCAATTTATTTTAATTGGCTTCGTTCTTGATGGATATATGTATTTTTATTTGTTTAATTTACTCCCGGTCAATCCAATATTTAGTTCGGTTATTCCTTTGACACCAGTGGTTCTGAAACTTTTTTGTAACTCGTTTCTCTTTAATGAAATTAAAAAGTTTTACTTATCCTTCTACCATGAATAATCATGGTCGATTAGAGACCGAAATCGATGAAAAGTTTTAACTCCTGATTACAATCTTTAGTGAACAGGAGTCTTTAATTTCAATTAAAAAAAAAATGACTTGAAATGATTTGAATCATTTGCTGTTAAAAAATTGACCAGAAATTCAAATTTACTATAATTTGAGGTGAGTTGTTCACTAAACTACCGTTGTTTAGATGTTCCATTTATAAGATTGAAAATGAACTTCTTTAAAGCTCTAAGTCAAATGTTATTTTATAAAGCAGAGATGATACTTATACTTACTTACACAACAGAAAAAAATGTCCATTTGATTTCTAATTATAAAAATAGTATTTACATGAGTACGTTAAACAAACCAAAGAAGAAAAAAAAATAAACAATCTATTTGACCTCTAACTTAATTACAATACTAAGCTCAGAATAGCTGCACACAAAAAGTACAAGTGTCGGTCTACTCGGATCACAATAGATTTAGGAAAAATCTAAGCATAGTCAAGAAAAATCCCAGAATAGTCATGAATAGAAAAAACAAATTAAATCGATATGTATATAAATATCCCTTTATAAATGACCTATCTTCATCTATAATACAATATTTTTTCGAAGTAACTTTTCCAGCTCTCAGAAGCGATGAATTTTGATGAATGAGGTATCAAACGAAATGATATTAAATGGAGCAGTGACGAACTATAGTAGCTCCCCTGAATTTCAGGAAAAGAAGTTATGAATGAAAATAAACTTTATTTGTAAAAACTGAAAAATTACATATTTTTTTCTAGATAATACCCATTTAAAATTCGATACAAACCAAAAAAAAATCATAGATAACGGGTCATCATTAGCCAAAATAAAGATATCATTTGGCCATCATTTAGTAAAGATATCCATGGAATGGTTTGTCATTATGATTGAACTACAGTTATTTAACTGAGAAAAAGAAAATTATTGTCTCTAACACATAATACATCTCATTACCTTATTTTTATACTATATTGTCAATTGTTCACTGGCGAATGTACTATGTGAATTATTCGCAAGGGCCGACTATTTGTGATAGTTTAATAAGAAACTATAGTTCACCTGTACGATATTGTCCAGATGAGAGTTTCACTTTATCTCTCACGCACCTCCCAGGCGCTTTCATGGCATTCACAATCGTAACATAGCTATAGTATGAAGTTAACAAACGTCTACAAACAAACTAAGTCTGTAATGAGAGATAAAAAAGCGAAAGATTTATGATGAACATATAATCAAACATAAACATAATCAAAGATCTGCATAAGAGACGCGACGCTGCCCGAAGACGTTTTAGACGTACTAGGCTTGCAGATGATTACCAAGCGTTCAGGGTGCTTCGCAACTTGGCACAGACAAGGATCCGGCGTGCGAAAGCTTCCTACTTCCATGAAATCCTTTCCTCAGCTCCTGATATCAAATCGAAATGGCTACTGCTTCGTAAATTTTCCATTTGTAATCCTTCCAGATCCCCTACCGCAGCCTTTCCTGTATCCTCCGATGATTTAAACTCTTATCTTACATCTGTCGCTAATATCTCTTCTCTACCTTCCTCTTCCGGCTTTTCTCCAGAGATATCCTTTAACAATTACTTTTATTTTTCCGACATTTCTCACACAGACCTGTTAACCGCGGTAATGAAATCCCACACCAATTCCATAGGGCCAGACTGCATCCCTGTGAAATTAATAAAAATATGTCTCCCTGAAATCCTCCCAGCTCTCCTTTTTATCTACAATTTCTCCCTTCAGAATTCAGTATTCCCTACCTCTTGGAAAAAAGCCATTGTTCTTCCTTTAAATAAAAAGCATAATCCATCCTCACCCGAAGATTTCCGTCCCATTTCAATTCTTTCTAACCTCTCAAAGCCTCTTGAAAGACTGGTGCAATCCCAAGTCTCCAAATTCCTCGAAAAGTCCAACCTATTTGATCCTCTCCAATCTGGTTTCCGTCCCGGCTATTCCACACAATCTGCCTTAATTAAAATTACCAACGACATTCAATCTGCAATAGATGATAGAAAATTAACTGTCCTTATACTTCTCGACTTCTCCAAAGCCTTCGATTCCATCAACCTTTCCATCCTCTTCAACAAACTAAAATCATTATCTTTCTCCAATAGTTCCATCTCTTGGTTCCAATCTTTCCTCTCCCAACGCACCCAAGCAGTTTCCATAGCCAATCAATCAGTATCTGCTACCTTCCTTTATCCTCCGTAGTTGCCCGGGGTTCAAGCATATCTCCTCTCCTTTTCAGCTCTTACATTAACGACCTTCATAATTCAATTCTCCATTGTCCCCACCACCTTTATACAGACGATTCCCAGATTTGCCTATCCTTTTCTCCCTCTGAGTTATTGGTAGCATTTACCAAGATTCAAGAAGACCTTGATCGAATCATTGCCTGGGCAAATGTAAATGGATTAAAGTTAAATGCTGCCAAATCTCAGGCCATTGTCACTGGTTCCAAGTCCCTTATTAGATCCCATACTGACTTTCCCATATTACATCTTAATGACCAGCCAATTTCCTTCTACTCTTCTGTTAAAAATTTATGATTTTTCATAGATCAAACCCTCTCCTGGAACTACCATATTTCTCACATTTCCCGTCGGACAATTTCTACCCTTAAACTATTTCATCGCTTCCGCCATATTCCTCTCCCATCTTCCCCCACTTTGACTACAGCTGTGTGGTGTATGATGGCCTCTCGGTGGAGCTCCGTGATAGACTGAAAAGATTAATGAATAGCTGCGTAAGATTTGTTATTGGTGCCCCGAGGTACTCCCATGTTTCTCACCACTACACTAAGTTAAGGTGGCACTTCCCCTCCTTTAGAAGACAATATTTCCTAGGTACGTTCCTCTATCAAATCATCAACAACCATCGTCCTTCTTACGCCTACAACCTTCTCCAATTCAAGTCCTCAGTCCATTTCCTTTCAACAAGATCTCGACCTTCTGACCTCTACATCCCTTCTCACAGATCTGCCTCATTTCAAAATTCCTTTATAGCTCGCGCTGTCAATTTCTGGAATATTTCTAATTATCAAATTTCGGCATTCCCCCTCCATATCCACATTCAAATCCCTCCTATTCCAATTCCTATCCCAAAAACAGTCAGATACTTGTTAAACTTTTGATATTATACATTTCTAGTCATCATCAAACGATAGTACTATTCTATACTGTGAACTGCACTTGGGATATTACAATATCTTCCTGCTCTTAATGCCACTGACCGCATCTATTGTTTGTTTGTTTTTTTTTTATTATTTTTTATTCGTATATCATTAAATCTGTACCTATAGCTAGCATTTGACAATGATGAGTCTACATATTATTCATTATTTAAATACACTGATATTTTATATTGTCAGCTTTTCTTTGTTATCAGAAACACGCTTCATTTTAAAGAAGAACTCAATGTATTTTTTATTATTTTATTTTTCAAAAGAGTATAATTATAATTTTTCCTACTGCACATAGTCTTAAGTGTTTTGTTATAGTTTTAAGTATTTTGTATATAGATTTTTTTTTGTGTTTTGTAAATAGCTTGTTTAACTAATATTTTCTTTACTTTCTCTTTTTTATTATTGTTTTATTTTGGCCAGATGTAGTATTTTAATTATGTTCTATTTTGTTATTCTAAAGGGACTTTGTCCCAGAATAAAGTTATTTTATATTTCTATTTCTAAAACATATGTTTAAAAAATGATTGTAACATGAACATGTGTTTAATAAATTACGGTAACCATGGAACGGAGTAAGGGTTGTCATTTCACGTATTATTTTTCACTAAATGCGACATGATAAGCCTTTTTTTTTTTTTGCTATTTTTCAAATCCGATCACGAGACTTTTATTCCAAACCTAAAGATTATTTAATTTTTTAATTAGAAAAATTTACCCGAACACTCATGTTTAACCATGCTATGTAAATATTTGAGTCTGTCATTTGCCGAGATAAGGGGATGTTAATATTGAAGGGCTCTTCCAGACATGGTTGGAAGGAAGGGAGCAGTTATTAAGCAGGCCCTTGCAAGACTACAACCTGGTAAGGAAATCCTCCTGTCTTAAAGAGAACTAGAGCGTAAATGTTTGGTGCGGAGTTGCTAGTTTGAAATTATAATGAGCCTAACTGTGGAGGGATCTTGCAAAGAGTTATCTTTACTCTTAATTCTCTTGTCTTGTGATTTTTTGTATTCATAGCAATTACAAAGGTATATATAAAATGTTTACTCTAGTCAGATTATTTTATTTTTAAAACTAAAGAATAACAGCTCTTTATGGTTATGTTCCAGTTATCTTAATAATTTGCACAGTTTATCGTGTGAGTAATCGAGTAATGGCATAATTTGAAAATAAGTAAAGTATATTTCTATTTTCCTGCCATATGTAGGTTTCAAAAAAAAAAAATCTCCAAAGTAATTTTATTTTGTTTATAAAATCAAATCATTTTTTCCCTTTACTATAAAACTTCATAATTATTAATTAAACATCTCAAATTCTTAGTAGTAATAAGTAATAAATAAATATAATAACTCTGGATGAAATTTATAATTTACTAAAACAGAAATAACTTCGGTAGGTTCCGATAACTAACGATCAACGAAGATACCCCAGCAAGCTCGAGCTTGGCCCAGAGGTTAAGTTAGTTCTCAAACGTCACATCTGAGTAATTTATGTATCTATATTATATATAAAAGTTTTAAGTGGCCTTCATATTCTATTTTATTTTAGTATTCGGAAAGTATGAGATAACAGGAGCTTAACTTATTAGGTGAATATTTTACAGATTATACAGTTGTTCATTTAATTACATATGTGTTGCACTCCTAACACAAATCCAACCTCCTAATACAAAATAAAGATTTTAGACTAAAATTGTGTACGGAAAATAGTATTTTCATCTGGAAGTCTGATTTCACCTAGATGACAGCAGTTACTTTTCGATCTAGTCATTTCCCCTCGAATAAAATACATTAATTATTATATTATATATAACATTATTTATATTATAATTATTATGAAATAGGAAAAGTTGCAAAATATATGGTGCAATGAAAATATTAGAAATAAAAAGCTCAAATAATTGTTGGGCTTATGTGAAGCTGGTACAAGTTGAATGTATATTATGGTTAAAAACAGGCAATAAGAATATTATAATTATATAATAATCCATGTGTGCTTATTTGTTTTAGGTGAAGCATTTATAACAATATAAAATAAGGCTGTGTTTTTACTTCATCACATTTATTCCATGTAGCCGATGTAGATAAAAAATTATATAATAATATAAATTGGTAAAAAGGCGCGATGTATAATATAGATTTTTAAATATAGATTTAACTTTCGACCAATTTATTTCATGTTATTAAAACATAATACAATCTGAACGACATAACATATGTAAATTAAAGTTATACCATATGAGCAACGAGTAGTACAATTAAATGACAATTATTGAACACTTGTATAATTTGTAAAATGGGGATTGGCCCGCCGTTAGGCGGGCAAGGAGTAATCCCCTTGTAATTTATAAGTGAGAAATTTGGTGTCTAATTAGACTACACACCCACATATATATACACATGTGTGTGTGTATGTATGTATGTACGGTTTTCATAATTCATAGCTCTGGTAATAATTAAAATTACATCTATAGATTGAGGCCAATGACGATAAAGGTACTGCGATACTGCCCTGGCTTCCATGGAAACTCATTCACTTTTAATTGTTTTTTTCAAATAATCATAAAACTAAACCCTTCCAGAAGTAATTCGTCGAATTAGAAGGCTAATGAACTTTTATTAAAGCTCATCCTAAAATGTATTAATTATAAATGGTACACATAATCGTCCGCTCTTTCATTCATAGCAACCTAATCGACGACATGCGATATCTATCTCATGACAACTCTAACGTTAATGTGAGCCTATGCCACTGCAATCTCTTCAGCTTACATTGTCTCGAAAGTGGTGCATTTTTGGGCTTTAGGTCCGCATCTAGATCTTCAAAACATAATTTGTCCGATCTCGATCCACTAACTATCCCAGTATCGAATACTAGTAACATTTTTATATCGACTTTATTTATGTAGTAAAGGAGGTAGCTCAGTGTTAGGGCACTGAACTTCCAATGCAAAGATCTCAGGTTCGAACCCAGGCTCATGGCAGAAAATTTATTTATCTGTTTCATTGGCCGTGGGGCCACCCTGGGTCGGAAGATGGGGCACACCCAGCCTCTATAAAGTGGGTGCCCTTAATTAAATAATTAATTAAGAGGGAAAACCCAATTTTGGAAGAAAAATAATTAATTAAGAGAGAAATTGGTTGAGCGTGATCTCGGTCAAATCACCTTAAGAAAAGCGAAAATACGGAGTACAATTCGCTTGTTCCCGTGTAATTCCGAATGAAACGGTACAGCATTCATGGTATTTTAGCATGGCAGAAGCTTGTATTTGGTACAAAACCGATCGGAAATAATATGTGATGTGAAAAGTAGAATAATAATAAATTTCCGTCTACTACACTAAAAATGTTACCCAATTAATTAAGTCCAACCTGATTGTTTTCCACTGCTGTGAGTAAACAAACATTTCTGTAAAGCTGATTGTTCGGGTGAGATGATCCAATGTCCCTATAATTAATTAATGTTGATTTCATGTTAGTTCAATGACTACCGAGTTACTCTGTGTCACATGATTAAGCTTACGTCTATACCAATTGAACAGAACTGTCATCTAAGCGTTAGGTGAAACGTTTTTGCTACTTTCGGAAACATAGAATGATTTTTCCCTGGCATAATCATTGTATGATTATGAAAGCAATCGAAACTTTGAGAAAAAATCTCAGCGTCGGCTCACAACCAACTTGTACCTTAAACATGGAACTAGTGCAGCCTAAGAATTTGTTAAGAAAGTTAATTTGTTGTTAGTTGATGCTATTTTTAAGAAGTTAATTAGTTAAGAATGACTATAAATTTAAGGAACAAATCGTGCAATGTTTAAAATAAATCAGTTTTTAAGCAATAGTAAAATGTGTCTCTGAGGAATGAAACTATATAAATAAAAATGTTAAATTAATAAATTTTAAAAAATAATGAGAATTTGTCATTGTTTCGTCTCACCCGATGGTCCATCAATCCCTTAATCACCTTAATGTGATACATTTTTAATTGTTATAAGTAAAAATATTGTTCTGTTGATTCGAAACTGAATAATAAAAATGTAACATGAGTTCAAGCGCATTTTATTTTGTAACCTCGAACTTTTCTTCAACAACCAAGCAACATATTAATTTTTTTAAAAACATTTTTAATATAGACTAGAAGTGCAGTAAATAACTATTTATAACATGTTTAAAAAAAAAATGATTTTCTGAATTCAATGTTTAGGTATTTTATTAAAAATCGCCGCTATGAATTTTTGTATGATTGAGCTGTTTATGTTATAATATGTAATGATTGAGCTGTTTATAATATGTAAAAATAATTTTCAATACATCTTTTGCGACCAATACTTCGAAATATTTTTATAAATTGAAAAGACAAGCTACGAAGTCAACATTAATTTCAAAATAACATTATGTAAATAAAATGAAAAAAACTCATAAAAAAAAATGAACGCCCTCATATTTTTTTTCTAGAAGAAAATAATGTTTATGTAAATAAATACTTTTTTTATTAAATGAATTTTATTTTATTTTAATAACATTTGTCATTAATTGAAGTTTTTTTTTTTACTTGTATTATATAGATGCACAATTAAAACTAGCTTACATTTCTTTAGGTTTTCACAGAAATTTCTATTATAATATTATTAAAATTTTCTATGAATATTCGTTTATTAATTGACTAAAGACTTTCGTATTCCGGACAGTTAAAAAGTTATTACTTTCCTTTTTGCATTAGTCATATTTATTTTCATTTTAAAGCTGTTTATAAAAATTTTTTTTTTGTCTATAAATTCATTTTAGCAAGATATTAGAGTTTACTGTTTAGACGTATATAAAGCCAGTGTTAATTTCGTAAATGTGTTGGAAAGGTTTTTATAACGTTTTTATCTGCTGTTTATTACTCTTGTTTTAATTAGAATGGGATGTAAGAAAAGATGAGTGATGAACCCGGAAAACGTGCAACAAATGAGAATAATATTTTGTTTTGTAGGAGATTTGAAAAATAAAAAAATCATTATATATTTCGAATTCTATCAGGTGTTCCGTAACCAAAATCTTATAGAATTCGAAATATATAATGATTTTTTTATTTTTCTAATTCCCTTATAAATTTATAATTTACCCAAATATGATTTAATTAGCTTGGTTCAATGTTAGATATGCATCTTTTATCATACATTAAACCAAGCTTATTAAATTATATTGGCTTACCCAATATATTTTTTGGAGGATAAAATATTTCTGAGAAGGAGGACACAGATTCCCCTAAACGTACAAAAAATAATTATCAGAAGTTAATTTTATTTTTCTTATACTGAACCATGAGTGAGGCATAAACTTAAGTGAAAATCGAAATTATAATATAAAAGTCAAACATTTTAAAAACTATGGATAATTTATAATTGTATTAAATTTTGTTCAAATAAAAGTCTTTTAAAATTAAAATCAACAAACGAAGCACGAGTTGTAAAAAATGAGCCTTTAATTTTAACTTACTATGGCTAATAACTCAAGACCTGATTTTCATGTTATTGCATATTTTATTTTCTTGCGCATACAAATTTCAAATCCGATTATCTATCCATTTTACTATCTGTAGAGATTTTATACTGTACGAAATAGCACATTATGCTGTTTTTGGCCTAAATAGCTGAATTTTGTTTTTTGTTGAAAAAAATTGGACATGTTTGCATATTTTGTGCTACATTAAATGATCTATAAATCTGAATATATATGTTTGTTTAAATATTTATCTTTCAATTTTACAACATATTTTACTATCTATTTATCTTTTTTATTTTACTATCTATTTTATGATCTATTTATCTTTTTATTTTACTCTCTATTTTATTATCTATTTATCTTTTTACTTTACTATCTATTTTATCATTTCGTTATTTTAATATCTTGTCCATAATAAATTTATAATTTATCATAAAAAAATATGAGGAATGTAAATGATTTTGTGGATAGCAATCGTTCGAGTTTCTAATGTTTCCTGAAAATTCATAGGAATTTCAATTTAAATGTTGCATTTTAATTTAAATTTTTTTTCTTTACTCGTAGTTTTAATTCAGAAGCTGAACACAAGGTTTGATCATATTTCTAGGTATTGATAAAAACAATTAAACAAAATAGAGAATTTTTTCACGTTTTTAGGTGTTGAATACACAATTTTACACATTTTGTGTTTTTTTGCTGCACGTTTTTCGGATTCACTCCATGAACGTCCAGTATCTACTAATAATGATTTAGCAGGAAGAGTCGTTCAAGATCCATACAACTGAATACCTTACCAAAGTTATGTGAATACCTCTATGATATTTTCGCTAAACTTTATATTTATTTTTATTTTCAGGATTCGTTAGGGTTCCATTAAAATATATATATTTTTTGCAGGAACGGTCAAAGTCGAGTATAGGCGAGGGCTGCCGCAAGTGCTGATTCCGCTACCCACCTCCAGGCAGCGATGCCTCTTCACCCTCAAGCCCGTGGGGAACACCGTTGGGGACCTCATCGACATGATCAAGTCGGAAGACAAAGCGATCAGTTCCGTGGATATCACAACAACCGGTAAGCTAAGAATCATAATTTTTGTAAAGGTAATGTTGGCCAGAATATAGGTTAATATTGAAATCAAAATATTAAAAACTATATCAGCTAGGTTGTATTCTCTCTAGAAATAATCTGACAGGCCTTAAATGCCGAATTTTCAAAATTTCTTGAAACTGTTTCTCATTGTCTTTTGGCGAAAAATAAAATACGGGAAAAAAAAATTAGTTCGTAAAATAATTTTTAGTTTTTATAAATAATAATATGTTTTTTTATTAACTCGAAGAGGGTTAAATATATAATTAAGTATTAGTTAATTAAGTATTTAGTATTAGTTTTAATAATAAGCAATTGTTTATAATAAGTCTAGTTTTAAGTATTAATTGTAAATATTATTTTAAAGTCAGTGTAACAGCCAACAGCTGATTGGGAGGAAAAAAAACAATAGAGAGTCGAGTTGAGAGAGTGATGGCGGAACCTCGCGAGTGTTGAGGCACGCTAAGGATTTTGTGTGTAAAATGCTTTAGTTTTACGGTGTACACCGGATTTTCTTTACTATTCATGGACCTGTGATTATCAGCGACGAGTGCCGCTTGATCTTACAAGTTGGTGAATGAACATTTTCACAACTTGAGGAGATAAATTGGAGAGACACTGACGACGCTAGCTCTAATAAGATGAAGGAAAATGAAGGATTTAAGGAAATTCCAGACAATTTTGTTTCAATATTATTATTATTAATATGCAGGAGTGCCCATCCTAGCCAAGGTTCATGGCACAACAACCTCCCCCCTCCTCCTCTTAAGATATTTTGTTGTTCACCTTTTCTTAAAAACAGAGCAAGCTAAGGTAGAAATTGAGAAATCGTAGATCGTATACAATTACATGAGCTGGGGTCTGTTCCGTTTTTCCCCTTATTCTTTTTGTCCGAAAATTCGTACTCCTGTCAAAATATGGCCCCTCCCCCAAATATTTTGATGGCGCAACTTGCGCCATGAAACCCTCTTTTGGCACCTCTGTTAATATGTATATCTAATATATAAAGCTGTGTAAGTATATCTAATATATAAAGCTGTGTAAGTTAATGGGGAGGCTATATCAGTGTTTACGGAAGGTAAACACGTATGATTATAAAAACTTTACAAATTTAATTTCATAAGTTTAGACCTGATAATAAATTTGAACATTTTCAGAACGTCGATTTATTACAAAAAGTCATGAAATAACACTTCAAAAAATTAAATCAGTGCTTGCACGAGAGCTTTTCTCGAATTAAAAGAGGCTTTTGATCGAATTTGGCAACTACAAACTCCATCAATTGCTTCTCCCTACACATTTCCTATTAATCTGTTCTTACCTCACAGATAGGACCTTCAAATTAGATTATAATTCTGCATATTCATCGTTCTTTTTCTCAGTCCTCCGGTGTTTCTGTAGGAGATATGATAGGCCCTACATTTGTTTAAATAAGTAATATCTACCACTCGCCTTGCTACTTACGCATATATGTTATCTGTCAATGGCCCAACTATTACTCCCGATCCTTACAATTACAAATTGCAGCCATGAAAGAATAGTTTCGGAACTAGAGAATCATAATAGATCCCAATCACATAACCATAGCATCTACGTACACTGATGACGCATGTATTCTGTCAGTTAATAATGATCCATTAATTGCATCCAAACTATTCAATCATACATCACAAATCTTGAACAATGGTGTCTAAACTGGAGGATTAAAATAAATTCCAATAAATCCTATCAAATCACCTTTACACTTCGTCATAAACCTATGACTTGCTGTCCTACAGTATCCTTTAATAACACCCCACTTATCCCTGTAGAACAAATCCGATACCTAGGACTCCACCTGGACATACGTCTCACTTGGAATCCTCATACCAGACTGAAACGACAAGAAACTGCTTACTCCAACACTTACTGGACAAATACTCTAAACTTCCAATTTCCAACAAAAGACTCATAAACATAACTATAATAAAACCTATTTGAGCTATGGGGCTCCACTAAACCATCAAATTCCTCTCGTATCCAATCATTAGAATCCAAAATCCTTCGTAAAATCCTCAATGCTCCTTACTTTGTCACAAATAAAATAATCCATAAAGACCTTAATGTTCCATATGTTTCCGATTTGGCCCAATCCAGATACCTATCTTCCATAATAAATTTCAGAACCATCCGAACCCTCTTGTTTCTAACCTTGCCACCTCTTCGATTCCTGATAATCCTCCGAGGCGTCTGAAAATAAGATGGCCTTGTAATCTCCTCATGTAGACATATTCTTGGAGTACTACCAATGGGTAGTTTCTCAACAAGCGTTTTCATTTGATTATATTCCTATGTACACCTTTACTTAATGTATTTATACTAATACAGTTGAAAATATCGTAATAAAAAAAAAAATAATAAAAAAGCATTAATTCCCTTTTTTGATGACTCCTGTGTATTCGTTTATACCTCAGTCGAAAAGATTACAGTTGATTCATCTCCTCGACCAGATCGATTTATTGGCAATGAAAGAGCAGTGGGGTCCCTGCCCAATATTTAGTCTGCAGCGAAATACCATATATCAGTGTGCTGCGGATAAGCTAGGGTGGTATTGTTATTTGCGTGCCGCTCTATATATCAAAGAGATAAAAGAGGACTTGATAATAAATCAAGTTTTCATTAAGTTGCCTGAAACCTTCTCTATCTCTTAATATTAGATTAACTTGAAGACTTGATTATTTAGGAAAAATTACAATCTTTTTAAATCAATGGTTTAAATTTTATGCTTCATATTTTACGTATTAAATCTAAATATCATTCATTGAAACTTTTTTTCTAATATCTTTTTTAAGGTCTTAATTTTCTTAAACCATATATAAAAAATATATTTCTGCTGAATTATATATTATATCTCGCTCTTAAAAGGACGACATACCGAGGGCTAAGTTGAAACTAATGTTACTATTTTTCCTTATCCTAATATATCCTTATATTTTGCTTTCATATATGTATCGTTTGAATTGGTCCGCTCACTCTGTCATCTTTTGTGGTTGAGTTATAAGACTTATTAATTTTGTTACATATCGTAGTTTTAGTTATCTCCCTTGAGTTGTGACTTGATGTTACAGGTGTAGGTCAATTTAATTAACATAAATGTTGTCTTACTGTATAGTTCATTTTCTATCACAATCCCTTCATTTTATCTCGCAATTAACTCATAAACAATATATATTAAAGTCACATACTAACGATTCGCTTACTTGTTTTCGAAAGGTTTTGAGTAATCTAATTTTAAGATCTAATTTGAAGATCGGCTTTAATGCAATCTTCCCATCTTCGCTTTGGTCTACCTCTCGGAGGTTTTCCATTCGGTACAGCAAATATCAACCATTTAGAAATTCTTTCATTGCTAAGCCCAACTATTTTACAAGTTCATATATATACAATAAATAAGAATAATATAACTTAAAGATAAATAAATTTTAAAAAATAAAAACATTCATATGTATATGCATTATTATGAAAAACTAGTTTGAAAATTGATTCGCTAATTTTTTTCTTCATTAAGTATAAAATCAATCAGTTGTCCTCAAAATATTACACAGTTGTAAATTATTTTTTAAATTTAATTTGATGAATTCTTGAAGGAAGTTAGTCAACTGTTCTACATATCATGGGTGATAAATATTCAGGTGGGTCATCTTCAGGGCTGAAAAGGTTTTTTTTTTTAAATTACAATCAGAGATATAATAGTATACGACCGCTAATTATAAATAATAAACTATAGTGATTGATGGTACATGAATCTTATAAACTATTTTAATATGTGTATTACAATATTAGTTAAGATTCATGTGCCATCAATCACTATAGTTTATTATTTATAATTAGCGGTCGTATACTATTATATCTCTGATTGTAATTTTAAAAAAAAAACATTTTCAGCCCTGAAGATGACCCACATGTTTGGGTTGAAACGTTGGCAAAAATAAAAAAAAAATTAAAAAAGACTGCGTCCTGAATATTTATCACCCATAAATTTAATTTGAGAAAATAAATTCATAGCTCAGATTTTTTATTAAATATATTCCGAAATATATTTATGACAAAAACCATTGTCAAAAATGAGTAAAAATTAATGTGACATATGTGTAACTGACAATACAACAAAATTATGTTATTTTACTTTTTTTACCGCTTTCTATGTAAGGAAAGCTAAGAGTACTTCAGAACCCTCGAATAAAAAAAAAAAACACTTTAGATCATTGATCTGTGTGTCTGATCCTGAATTAATGATTCCTGCTAGGAATTGGGTATAGAGCCTTGAAAGTATGGTTGCTTTGAGTTTACACACATATATATATATATATAGGTGTTATTTAAATTTGAAAAATATATATATATTTTACTATTAAGAAGATGATAGCTCATTGATATTTTTAGAAGAGGGAAAAACTTAGTAAGTAGAACTAGCGGATCCAGGATTTAATTTTGGGGGGAGGAGCTTCAGCCCGAAAGATTTTTTTTTCATATACATATAACAATAATTAATTAGGAAAAAAAGAAAGAAATTAACTTCCTATATGAAATGATGTTTAAGTGGTTCTTGAAGTCCTATTAAATGTAATTAAACGAACAAGAATATTTTAAGAGATAGTTTTTAATATTTTTTTTTGTGAAACGTAGTTATAGTTTACTATTTTGGGGGGGGGCTTCAGTTCGAAAGCCTCCCCCGTACACCCGCTTGTGGTAAGTAGAAGTATAGTCTCCATTAGTCTTAGTATCATATTGTGGTCAACTCCGAACCTTTCTACAAACCTTGTTGACGTTGGCACCATCACAGTTCTAGTGTGAACCTAGAAAAGATTTATAGCTGTGAGTTACTAAATTATTTACAGTTTGCAGAAGCCTACTGATATGTCAGCAATACATACAACTCATGAGGGCCGATTTCTGTTTACCATGTTATTCTTTGTGGCCATAGAATTAACCCTCAATAAACATGTGTTAATGTTGTTTAATTATTTATTATATTTAAATTATCTTACGAAAAATTCCTAGCGATGATATTGAAAATATCATTTTTTAAACTTATGATTCTTTATATTTTTTTCAGATAACATTCGAATAGCGTCTTCCAACACGATAGCCAATTTGGTGGAAGAAGATTTTAAATTGACGATAAATGGAAAGGAATATTTTGTAAAGGCTCCACAAAAATTTGAGGTAAATATTTGTTTTATTTATAATTAACATTTTTATTTAAAATCCAATGCAATCATCAGTAAATTCTCTATCGTAAAATTATCATTCTATTAAATTTATTTTTTCTTCAATGTTTCGGGACTCCCACCTGCGTGCCTCGTCTTGTGTTACTATTCTTATTTTTCTTCTCAATTTTCTTGCATCGTAACTTTTTAAAAAATACTTTATACGGAGGCAATTATAAATTATTACTTGTAGAAAAAAATGACCTAGCTATTAAGAAAATTAATGTAACGAATGGACGTAGAATAGAAGAATCAACTTTATTCTGTGAAAAAGTCCCTTAATAATAACATTAAATCTCGCCAAAAGACCTATTACAATGAAATATTAATTAAAACATAACTAATTAGAGACGTATTTACATAGCTATGAGAATATATTAAAGAAAACATATGAGTAATAAGATCACAATAGTGCAAAAGTTGTTAAAAACAATAAAGTGAAAATAACTAAATGAAATTAGAAAAAAACGATAAATTTACTTAATACTCAAACCATTGTTGTAATAAATAAAGAATAATAATAAAAATAGATAAATGCATTCTATAAATGATTTACATCTGTTCCTTAATATGTTCAAATGAGTACTTATAATGGTATTTTAAAAATTAGAAAAGTCTTGTAATCTGTAAACTAAGACGTAAATTGATTAGAGAAGAAAAAAAAGATATATATAAACATATAGACGAGTAAGTCCACGATGAGAAAAAAAATGAAATACATCTCAAAGACATAAAATCTTATGAATAGGATTGTCTATGAAAAGTGATTAGAAATCTTTTTGGACGTAATATAATTTGTCAATTAATTAAAGTACGATCCTTGGCTATCTGTACACGTCTTCCAATGAAAACTAATCCATCAATTAACAACGTTAAAACGATTATTTCATTGTGAATTTAGGTCTGATTTGAAAGTAATGGCCTGATTTAATGTTTTTGTGATCCAAAAATAAAATAATGTATCTGAAATAATATAGCGCAGGTTATCCTTAATAACGCGAAATTCTGAATTTGAGATTATATGTTCAGCAAATAATACTAAAGTTAATTTGCAGTAAATTGTATGATTATGTACTACTCGTTCCGTAACGTAACTTTTCACTTAATTTATCACGCGAAGTTATATTGAAACAGTGTTTTGTTGAATTACAAAATAGGATCAAAGGTTTTTTTTTTGTGGTCTATTAACAGAAGCTAGAATAAATATCGCTGAAATAAACATTTTCAAAGATCTTGCCCATTATTTTAGACATCGTATTCGTCCCAATCTGTCCTAAAAAATTGCAATTTACTTCCTTGCTTTCCATAATACTTGAATCTATGGATTTTATCACATTAATATTAGGGAATGGATTGTGTTTTTAAAATCTGCCTAGAGAGCTTTGCTGCATCTTTTTCTGTTATCTCGGGGAATTCGAAAAGGCCTGTGACGACATGTTGCTAATGATATTCTACAGGATTCTTCAATTCAGAGCAAATATTTTGAAAATGAACCATTTCAAGTGTCCATCAAGTGAGGAATATTTCATAATGATGTAGAGATGGTTGACCGTGATATAATATGAGAAGGAATTGGTCGGGGGGTGCGGTCAAATAAATACTAAATGAAAAAAAAAAATAGTATTTTTAATTATGCCGACGTTTCGACCCACCTTGCAGGTCTCATTCGCCATCTTCTTCTACAACTCATTCTGCCCTCTCTCTCCAGATACTTCAAACACCAAAACAGAGTCCTGATGATGACTCACATGTTTGGGTCGAAACGTTGCCACCTATAAAAACTTTATAATGACTGCGTCCTGAATATTTATCACCCATGATATATAGAACAGTCGAATCTAAAACAAGAATACTCGTCGTCGCTGAAATACACCACATTATAAGTATGAATTCTTCGTACTCTGACAGCATCATCTCACAACACACATAAAGAAAAAACATGTAATCCTTGCCCATTTCAAGCTCTACACTGCTCGCACTCAGTTCATTCGCCATCTTCTCCTATAACTCATTCTGATCTCGCTCCAGATACTTCAAACATCAAAATAGAGTTCTGATGTTGACCCACATATTTGGGTCGAAACGTTGGTATCGATACAAACTTTTTAATGACTGCGTCCTGAATATTTATCACCCATGATGTGTAGAGCTGTCGATTAACTTCCTTCGATAATGTATTAATATTATGTTATATTTTAATTGTCTAAACGGTCCTAATACCTGTCCAAAATTTGTTGGAGTGCCTGAATGTAAAAATACCCAGAAGGTTTACAACGGCATTACACTCATATTTCTGTCTTCGCATTGTGCGACCTATCCTTCTAGAATAGGTGAATAACTCTGGCAGTTTATTGATCATTGAACAGATAGCAATATAATACGCGAATAAGTAAATGCAATGTAATAAGAGAAGCATAAATTAATTTTTAAATTTAAATTACAACGGTTCGTTCAAAATAATAGACCAATATAAGTGTTCAAATTACAATTGGCTATATCTTTGCTAATAATGATCCGATTTCTATAATCTTTTTTTCCTTCAGCAGGGAAAAAGAAGCTATAATACGGGGAAAGGTCAGGAAAAAAAGTTGTGAAGAAAAGGGTAATTTATTTGGACACAAGTCATAACTTAAGCAATTTATGTTATTTATTATATCATCGCAAAAGATTTCCAAATCCCCTAAGTCGTTATAATTAATAATATAAAGTGTATACTTTTTGAGTTATGCGAAAATAAATTATCCTTTTCATCATATTTTTTTCCTGGCTTCTCCGGATGATGTGTTTATTTTCCTATCTGAAGGAGAAGATAATCTTCAAAATTTTTGGTTGTTATTAAGAATTAACGAAGATATGAACAACCGGGAAAAAAAATCCTTTGAGAAATGATATGTAAAGATTGTTTAGGAAATAAATATAAGAAAAAATATTCCATTAAGCTGGTCATAAAGGACTCATTATGATATTGATTTAATAATTTTAAATAACAATCAATCCACCAAAATATAGTATGAAATACAATGGGCTTACGGTTTTTTTTTAAGCGGACCATACCCGGACAGGCGGAGTGACATTTCGAGTCATGATTGATCCTGTAAGGGTTAAGATTGTTGTACAGATGTACGGGACTGACGGATTTCCAAAAATTCTGAAATCAAAGCTTCAATCCCGAGAATTGGAGGTGAAACTGAGGTAAAAGTGGTGGTCTGACTAACCTAACTACTCTACTAGGTTGGTTAGTTTATCTATGCCTCAGAACCAATGTACGTTCCTGATTTTCAATTAAAATAAATAGTTTTTCATACCCTTCGTTTATTTATTTTTTTGTATACTATCTTCAAATCTTTTTTTTTTAACAATCAATTACAAAAAAAAAAAAAGTGGAAAACTTCATATTACTTATTGAAAATAGTAATCTGTAACTGTTGTGTATGATAATTATTATTTCTTTTCTGTGTTTTTTTCCAGCATAATTATTATTTACAAATATTTTTAAGTAGTTGAGCTTATATTTTTCTGGCATTTGTCCAACCAATTTTCGGGCACTAATGAGTAATTATCACAGCTCCACATTTCTCTGTATGCCCTATGCTATAAAGTGTAATGGCCAAATAAGCTTTTTTATTGAAATACATTATTAATAGGCAATACGCCAACTCCACAACGCCTGTTATCTCAGCGTCTACAGAGCTAATAAGACGCAATCTGATTGATACGTGTAGAGTCCATTAATATTGAAGCAATCCTTGTCGGGCTTGTTACGGTCATTGATGACTGGTCGTGTAGGGTCCGCTTTACATTTTTAGTCCATTGTTGGTACTGGAGCCATAGCATCGTAATCAGGCGGAGGTACTGGATCTCTTACACGAGTTTCCCTTAGCAAAGTTCATTTAGATATTCGGTTGGGTGCGTGGGGGAAAGTATTTTCCATATTGGAAAAGTGGTGGTACACTTAGCCAACCAGGCTTGTTCCCCTCATTACAGAGGTGAGAGGAGAGCTTGCCAGCTGACTCCTATCTTCTTTCCCTCCCACACTCACCTTTGATCTGCCCAACATAGGCCTTACTCCTCTCTGCGTGTATTTTTAAAGCTTTAAATATGTAATAACTGGAAGCTATGAAGTAATGGATGTCATACGTTACTGACTTTTAAATGTTAACTAGTATCCTATTTAATGTAAACTGTTAATACTATAGTTCTATTCAAGAAGTTAAGTATAAATATAGTTATCCTATTATAAGAACAAATAGAATATATTGCTGAATGGTAAAACAATATATTGTCTAATGAAACTTGTAATGTGAACGTTTAATATACTCACACTTATATGAAAATGATCATAAAATATTTCGTCGTTTTATTGTCAAAAATCATTATGTAAAATTTCATAACCTTAAATCACTAAGAACTTTTATGAATTTTTCCTATGTCAGATCAGAAAATTGTGCGATTGAAATAACTATATTTAATGTATAGTTACATTGTTATAGTTATATAATATGTATAGGTTTGTGTCGCTGTAGTGAATTTACTATGCTTTTTTATCGATAAATAATTTTGAAATTTATAATAATATTCTTAAACTTTCAGCTCCATCAGTCGACGATTTAACTTTTTTTAATTTTTAAAAATATAACTGATGTGTAGCAAACATTAAAAACTGTATTTGACAAAACTAAATCAACGATAAGTGTCATTTTAGTGCGCTTTCTATGTTTTATTTTTTTTATCGAAGAAGGTTGAAATGTTAGACCTCAAAAGGATGAATAGCTTTAGGACGTAAGGCAGTGGCGCCCAGTAGGGAGTTTTCATGGCATATGTCCTACCATCATAATTTTTAAGGGATGCACATTTCGACAGGGTTTTGAATTTTTAAGAGGTGCACATTTCTATGGTGTTATGAATTGAAAAGTTAAAAGTTTCAAAACAGGACTAGGAAAACGTGGACTAGACCACAGCAAATGTTATAAATATGATCTATGAATTTTCTGATTCAACTTTTGCTTACATTAATTTAAGAAGATGAGATCAATACAATTTCTTGGGAGGAAGGTTTGGAGTTCATATGCCATCAAGGGGTAAGATAGGGCTAACCATCCCTGGGTAAGGAAAGAGCAATGGGTTGCTTAAGGATTTTTTTTTACTCCAGAGATGTGGATTAAATAGGACTCTGGATGCGAAGCTTCGGCTTTATCTTAATGTAATGCTGCCCATGAGCTGTAATATAGGTAGGTAGAGGAATACACACAAATCTTTTTGCGAAACTTATTTTTTTAAATATTATTTATGTTGACTCATAAATTTTCACGATCGTAATACTTTCTCTTACTATATATTTTATTTGTAAATAAGTGAAAGTAAAATTATTTTCTATGAACATTTGAAAATAACAAATACAGCCGTAAATGGTATAGATGTGGGACCTGAGTTATTTCTTCTTTCATCTATATCAGTGCCTTTTCACGAGCCTGTTTTCTCTAAATATTTTGTTGAACATTTTATTTTATTGATTTATTTTTACTTATGATAAGATTTTTGTTTTAGTTGCACATTACGACATATTATATAATTATATTAATTTTTTTTTCTCTCTGTCTTTCGCTCCTCTATTCTCAAGGGTCATTGGCGTTTTACTATGATTTATATTCTTTTGTAATATTCTATTAACTTCAAAAATTCAAACAAAGTATTGACTGTTTCTTCAGTATCTTGAAGGATTTCTTTTAATGTTCTGGCTAAGCCTGTTTTTTGTCTATAACTTTCAAATTTAGGATATTCTTCCAGTAAGTGTTTTACTGTTTGTGGAACATTATTACATTTTTCACATGTGGGCGCCTCGAGACCTCTCTATGTGTAAACTGGCAGTGTCCTATCCTTAGTCGGCAAAGCATAATTTCTTCTCTCCTTGAATTTCTGTAGCTTGTGAGCCATTTGTCGCAATTAGGTTTTATTTCTCTCATTCTTTCATTTCATATTCCTTCTTCCATTCTGTTTGTAGTCTTGTTTTTGTATGGTGTAGCCAGTCTTCTAAGGTAACTTTGTTTAGTCTTATATTCGCCGTTTCTTCTTCTCTCCTTGCTAAATGGGCTGCTTGGTTAGCTTTTTCATTTCCCGGAATGCTGCAGTGGGCTGGCACCCAAACGAACACTATTGACGTGCCTTTGTTTTTTGCTCCCCACCATACATTTAATATTTCTTTAATAATAGAATTAGTTGGGGATGTATGGTCGATAGCAGCTAAGACACTCCATGAGTCAGTTACAACGACCCAGCACTTTTCCACAGAATCTCTTATGAAATAAAGACTGCTCATGATGATATTGTTTAATTATATCAAATTATTCAATCACTATATCTTTTGGTTGTGTATTGCTGTAATTTATATTTCGAAAGCAATTTTATTGATAAGCTTATATTTATCTAGTGTACATCAAATTAAATTTATAATATGCATTTACATTTCAACATTTCCTGCTACATAATTTTTTATTATTATATTGTCCAATTGAAATTTTACAAAAGCTGTACAAAAATCTAACCGTGGTCACTGTCCATAATTAGTTCCTTTGATTCTTAACATATTTTAAAAAAACTTTTAACATCTATTTGTACATTTTTTTGTAGGGAGCAAGTTCGGACAGGATGTGTGAAATACGATCTTTAGTTCAACAGCTTTACACTTCTCTGAACGCTAGTGAGCACACTGCAAAGTTGGAAATGGAATTTGAAATGGAGTTAGAAAATCTCAAAAAACAGTTAGAACCATTGGAGAAGGTAATTTAATATTGAAGAGTATATTTTAACATAAAAAACTTTTTAGTTTCATTTTTTAAAAAAAATTATAGTATATTTTTTAAAAGTTAACTAATTGTTTTATGAAATTATTGGATCTAGAGTTCATACATTTTTTTAATGTTTAGTGTGACCCATTTTAGTGAAATGTGTATTTTAACATATGTTGTAGAAAAAACTGGAACTAGACAGAGTTGCTGGTCGGAATGCAACTATTTTGACTTGGTTTGGTCTTGGATTGATGTCCATGCAGTTTGGCATCCTGGCTCGGCTGACCTGGTGGGAGTACTCTTGGGACATCATGGAACCTGTTACGTACTTTGTCACTTATGGTACTGGAATGGCAGCTTATGCATACTTTGTTCTCACCAGACAGGTTAGTGAAATATTAGTAATTCATTTTATTAGCTGTAAAATTAAAATAATGGTCATCCTTCACTATAAAAAGCTAATTCTGAAGTTGAGCAAAATACTTTTTAAATATATATGCTTTTACGTAGGAGTTCACTGAGGGGCGATCACCCTCCAATAATAAAGGAGAAGTGGCAAGGATATCGTATTGTCTTCCTCCAATAATTTAAAATACATAAATTTAAAAAAAAATTAATTTAATGTCAAATATTTTACTTCTGTAATTAATAAATTATGTAAAGTAATATAAATTAAGAAAATGGAAAAAGTCTACCAGCTGACTAATATATAGCAACTTACACTATGATATTATGATTCTTGTAATCTTTTTATCATCTTTTCCTGGGCTAAGTTGAACACTATCATTTCAGTTCTTCTTTCTGGACTTAGCATTTAGGATAGTTTATACACACCTTGGTATATCTCACATATTTCCTGGGACACAGCTGTCATAATTATCTAAAGACTGTTTCTCTCTAAGGAATCATAACCTGTTTTGAAAGTGTCAAATAAGGTGTCGCATCTCATGTTTCTTCCTGTTGTTTTTCCAGCGGATGTTATACATTCCTTTCCCTTCTATATTAATCCTACTTCATAAAACAGATACGGCTACCATAGGCATTGCCTTGTCTTTTAAATTACCACAAACCTACTGCTCTTTTTAATGATAAGATAGATTAGGCCTATGATCCAAGCCTCTGTTAATCTTTCCTCTCTGAATATGTTGTAATAGTGTATTCTCCCCAAACTTTAAAGAGCTATGATGGTAGGCTATTCATTCTTAGAACCTTCTTTTAATCCGATGGCTATTTCCACATTAATAATATATGTAATGAATGTAGTCTATTTCTTCTTTGTATGTGGGATTCTTTTGATTGTGAAGTTGCTGAAAATGTTCCTTCCAAATGTTCTTCCTTATCTTCTGATGCCCTCAGTTTACCATCTTTTTTTGCCATGTTGCTCTTTCTTTCCTGATGTACAGTGATGGTAAAAAGTATTTGCACATCATGTTTTTATGAATCAATGAGTTCAAGGAACCAAAAAAATTTGCTTTCCTCTGCAAAAATGAAAAGTACATTTGTTAAAAACTAAGAAAAACCTTTTGGAAAAAAATAATAACACTCCATAATGAAATAAAAAAATTAAAACAATAAAAGTACTTGGAAAAAAGTATTTGCACACTATGACTCACAAGCTCTGTTTACTTTGGCATTAATCCTCTTGTGTCCATAGGTCATTGGTTTGTTTACTAATTTATCTCTAATCGTTTATTACCAGTATTCTCTAGTCTTTCAATCAGTTTCCTTTAGTCAATAGACAATTATCATGCCAAAGACAAGTGAGTTCACTATATATTCAACTTAATCCAAGCACTAGATTAATAAAACTGCAAAAAAACTCAGCTAGAGAGGGGAGATGGAGGCACAGCTAGCTTACCACCCACATGCAGCATCGAGGCCACAGGTTCCTGCCTGTGAATTAGACTGTGAAAACATTGTTTTTCTTAGCACATAATTTTTTGGATGTTGGATTTTCAATTTATTTTAATATTGTACAGATTACAGATTCATAAATGTCTGAAGTAATCTGTGAACAATCCATAAATGTCTGATACCAAGATAAAATAGATCCTCTCATACAATAGATTTCCCTTACATTCTATAATCAGATATCAAAATTGCAAAAAATATTTTATTTCTTTTCTTGCCCTCATAGAACCTCCCTTAATATTTTTATAGAAAACCCATCCTTATATCTACATACTTTATCATAATTTTTAAAAATCTTTCTTCTACTTTTTTTTCTCCCCATTTTATCAGTGTAGAGGATCCCTTAATCCACTGAACCTAGCTCTCTGTTCTGTGCCATCTTCAAAATTTTTATTTCATTTTTAATGTTCAACCTAGTGATTTTTTTACCATTATTTTTCTTGGGTTTTGGTTCTTATATACAGGCCCGAACCACTTTAGTTGTCTTCTATGGAAGTTATTTTTCAATTTGGATAACTGCTCTCTTTTTACCTCATTCCTGATATAGCATCTTTGTGTCCTGCCTGCCACTTGGTGGATATATTTCATTTCCATGGTAGTCATATGACTCATTTGTCTTAGAGCCAACCAACAGAGTCAGTAGATAAACAGCTTTGAAGATGTGGGACTTGACATGAATAGGAACCCCTCTCTCGTCTTTTATGATATTCCAAATTTGATAGTAGATTTAATTTTCTGTTGTTATTCCTCTTGAAACTTCCTTGTCTAAGTTTGCAATGTTGCTAACTACTCTATCTAAATATGAGAATTCGCCAACAAACTCAAGCTCCTCGCCAAAAAAAAATATATATACTAAATACATCGTTCAGGTATTCATTGTTTCTAGAATATAAACATATAATTATTTCTGTTGTTTCCAGATAACATGCTACATTAAGATGAGAATTTTGTGATTTTTTTTTTTAATATTCATTATTGACTTTGTTTTCAATTTTTTGGATCATTTCTGAATATTGAAGAAATTTTGTTGAGCTATTTGGAATAGTTTTGTTAGAAATAGATATTAAGCTGTAACTGGTTTGGACTAATTAATCTGTGATGTTTTTCTAGGAATATTTATTACCTGATGTGAGAGATAGGCAACATCTTCTGAGTGTCTACAAAAGAGCATCAAAGATGGGTCTGGATTTGGATGAGTACAACAGGTTGAAGTTATCTGTAGCCCAGTTAGAAAACAACTTGACTCGAATTCGAGACCCACTTTCTAAGGTTCAAGTCCCTCAAGTTCCAGTGCAGTTCCGAGATACTAGGCAGCCTCCAGAGGTTTCTACAACAACTTCCTTCCCTACCAGGTTAAAGGCTAGCGTATTCAGCTTCTTTAACTCTTCTTCTGGAAAGGGAAAGTAATAGATAATATTATTATTTTGAACATAAATGCATCATGCATTGCCCATTTACCTTGTTGGAGGCTCAAAAAATTTATTTTTCTTAAGATCAGGGTTATTCTGGAAAAAAAAATGATGGAAAAGAGAAAGAATAATGTACTTATAACAGTTGAGAAGTTACTTGTGATCTTTAATTATGGATCAGTTAACTCATATTTTTTTTTATCTCAAGTAAAATATCACACTATTTAAATACAAACATATTTCGTTATATAATATTTAATTATTTGTTCAAAAAATCAATTTTCCTTTTACTAATCATGTTTATCTTGTTAATACAAAAGCTGATGAACATGGCGGTGAATATAATACCGTTATATCTTCTATTTCTTAATACTAAGTTTACCTATCCTTATAAAGTATTAAAATGTATGCTTAGTTATTATGTAAAGTACAAGTTGATTTTAACTATATCTTCTTACATAATTATTATTAAATGGAAGCAATTTTCTCCTCACTATCCATAGACTCTTATTTCCTTTTTATAATTACATTAATTTTTTTTTTTAAGGTATCATTATCCTCAGTAAGGTATTCTCAAAAAGTTATTATTACCCTCAACTGATGCCAAATGTTTTATAATGCTATTAAATGTTTTTAAAAGATATTTCTGACTTTTAAATATTTCGCTTGGTAATATTTTGCATGTGTGATGGCAAAAAGTGATAAACAAAGTATAGATATTATAGTTGCATTAAATTGTATATTATATACAGGTAGAAAAATATATGGCTCATGTTAATATATAAACTGTTAAATATAAATATATAAGTACTTATATGTATTATAAATATACATAAATGTATACATACAACTGCCACAAGAGAGACATGTAGTGAAAAGAACCAGTGCTTATAATGTTTTTATATTTGAAACACTGATATCCAAAATGCCTTCTTCTATTAGAAGTGTGTATATTGTAAATAATAAATATAATAGCTATGAAAATGTATTCTATAAATTTAATCAATCCATTAAATATATGTAATAGCTACTTTTTTGTAATATAATTGTAAAATTAAACTAACAGCTATTAAAAAGGATGTAACAAAGATGTTTTTTGAACTGTATTTAAAAAAAAAAAAGAGCTTCCAGCAAAAGTTATATATTTGCATTGAGCACTTGTCACAAATCACCATGCGATTACAACAGTACAAAGAAGTGATAATAAAAGCTGAAGCATAGAGTAAATAAACTTATAAGAAAACATGAGTGGTAAACATCTAAACCTAATGCTCAAAATATTGTTAAAGTTAAATCATTATTTCTTTATGTATATCTGTACAGTAATTATGATAGTTTTTGGGCCTATTATATATAGTCTTACATATTCATATCACATGAAAAATTAATTAAACTTTTGCTAGTTTAACATGTGTTGGACTATTTTTAATGGTCGGTTAATTTATTTTATGGACACCAACTTCACTTATATTCATTATTAGTGAATGTTGTTATCATTATTTGTAATTTTTAATTGTTTTTCCTTCTCATCTCATAGACTTAAAAATTTATCTTTTCTTTTTTTTTTTTTCTGAACTTATCCACTTCAACCTTTTTACCTTTTAATTAGGAAAAACAGGCTTTATTTTTATAATTTTCTGGATGGATTTATGTAATTGGATATTAGACTCTATTAACATTTAAAAAAATAAAAATGTCATAAATTAATAGTTTTTACTAGAAATAATTTGTCATGATATGGATATGTAACCCTGGTTGGGTCCGAGGTTGATATTGTATATATAAAATGTTAATATTGCCATTCTTTGATGACAATAGATAAAAAGATTTTGTCCCTAAAAACTGTATTTAAAAACTCCTTCAACTTTGTTGTATAGTTTTGAATGGTGATGCTATTGCACCATTAAAAATCAAGAGCTTCCGGGTTAATGAGTGCACTTCTCCCACACAGCTTACCCATCTATTCCCCTGCTTTTGTACAGTGGTAACTTTATGCCTGGAATGATAAATAGAAATGTTTATCTTTTTGCATGATTAAGTTAATTTTTACGTCATTATTTTTTTCTTGCCAATATATCCATTTATATTTGGCAGATGAAAAAGAGCTTTTAGTTATAAGTATATTTTATTTTGTATATAGATTATAGATTTTTAATTTTATCCTTTTTGACTAATGCTAATTTTCTCCTGAATAAATATCATCTCTTGTGTAATCCCACGGCTTGAGGCTTTCTAATAGTATAATACTAATTAAGCTGTTGTAGAGAATTAACAGAAATCTTTAGACGCGCCTTTATAATGGCATAACTTTGATTTTACTGATCTATCACGGAATATAATACTTTCATTATTGACCACTTCTTCAAAATAATAATCATAACATATCACTTGCTTTGATAGGTTTACCTATTTCTTGGTAATCGTTATACTTTTACCATTTTATAATCACACCTTTCATATTTTTATATAATCCTTTACATTTCTTTTAATTAATAATTTATTAAAAGATAATGTATTATCCTTAACTTAATAGTTACTTATCCATTGTTAACATATATTGCATTTCATAATTCTAGGATAATTATAGTTAAACTAAGAGGTATCTTTATTTACACAATATATACAATTTAGTAAAAGAATATGGCCTTGGTGTATTGTGGGCAACTTCTTAAATATTTACAAAATAATTGTTTATTTACCTACTATTTCTTATTTATCATTAAACCTTATAAAGAATATAATAAATTACAAATGTGGAAATGTTTGTACAAAAAAATTAAATGAAATAATTTTTAAAAAATGCTTTACTAAAATAAAATTATGCTATTAATGCACAAAATGTTTTTATCTTATGTTTTATATTGATTCACTCTAAAATTTGAATTATACAAAAAGAATAAGGGGGAAATACATGTTAAAACAGTTTATTTAAATTGTTTGCTTTAATCAATTAGAATTTTTTTAATGATCTTTTTTGATTGTGAGACTGAAATGTGATATTTTATTCAAATATGTCTCTATGTCGTCCAGAGAATAATTATTAAATCTTTTGTTTATTGTTGTATGGTCCCTTGTTATTTCATGTAAAATAATCAAGTATATTTTCAAACAGAAAGTTATTGAAAAAGGATTGCCATACAATATTTCCATTGCTAGTTAGGATTATTTTTGCTATAATTATTTTTATTGTTATGATCGGTATTCACATAGTTCCTCTTAATGTACACTGATTATCAAAACTATAATCTGCATAGTTATAGCCTATTATTAATACATTTTCTATGATAACCCAAAACTATATAATCTGGTGGATATGAAACCTAAGCTTGTTTAAATATTGTCATAATGGTCAAAGCTCTTTTAATAATATATTAAAAAATTACTGTTACTAAAATTTTAATGATTTAAAAAAAAAGTTTATAAAGCAAATATATTATGTAAATCTAAGAGAAGAATGAGTCTTATTATGAATGATATGTTTTCCCATTTGTTTGATATCTAAATTTATAATTTGAATTTCATTCATAAAAACTAAGTATCTTATAAATTCTATTCATTGACAATGACTAAACTGTCTACAATTACTGTCCTAACTTCCAGAAAGTGTTTTAGATGTTAGCAGTTTCTGGTCTTTTTTACTTCGCTGCCGCAAATCACTTTTCAATAAAAATATATGTTTCTTTGTCACTGTTTATATACTTGTTTATAACTATTGTTAGATAGTTATAACATCAATTTCAAATAAACAAATAAGTAGGTACATCTTTTTTCATCCATTACAAATAAAACTGATAACATTGAACGTATTTATTTGAAGTTAATATAAACAATAAAAGGTGCACAACAAAAAACAGTTTATTTTACTCATAAAGGAGGCCTGTAGTCTCTTATGTTTTTCATTATAACTCCTATAATGTTATAATATTTAAACACCCCAAAACATACACAATAAATAACCCAATCGGTAACAGTTAAAAACAATTTAAACCAAAATCAGATGTTTTCATTTGAAATGTGATTTCCGGTAGAGAAGTAAAAAAATCTCGCAGTTTCATACTGTTCCTTCAGTTAATAAAGTTAAAGTACTGTATATCAATTCCTATTAGTAACTAAATGTTTTCCTTAAAAAATGTATGTTTCAGGAAATTTTAGGTTTACAGAAAAATTATACATATTTTGTTTAATCCAAAAAAGTATATATTTATCAACTTTGAAGAAAATGTATTTGTTATTCAGGAAAAAATGTGTTTTAAAAAGATCTTGAATATTTTGTTTATATGTGGTCTGTTAATTGTTACTGTGTGTTAAAAAGTGTGTCAATATTTTTAAACCTTATATGTAAAGATGATTTAAATTATATTTATTGTTAAAATATGAGCTACTTTACATGTAACAGTTCTTAGTAATTAAATGAAAACTCTTACTTAGATCAAATGATATTTATTTTGTCCTCTTTCCTTATCATAACATAAATAGCTTTTTTAATTCAGAAGTGACTTAAAAAAAATTTTGCCAATTGAGGTTTAGTTATATTGGATGTCCATTTTGTGGGATATCATAATAAAACTACTATTTACTGGAGACCAAAAGGAAAGTAATTAGAGGGCTTGTATCCATCTAAGCATGAACAAAAAGTATCAGTTTAGTAAAACACTTTAAATAGGTAATAATCATTGAAGGTTTATTTACTTTATCGAGTTGTATAAGAGAATGGAAATTGACAGCTTTGGCCAACCTAAATTTAAATTAATTCTAACTCTGTAATCAATTAGATCTTCAAAACCTACTAGATTTTTTATAATAACGAATTATTTACAGTGCCACATGAATATATACAAACTGTGTCCCACAAAAGTTTTCTCCATCTAGAAAATGTAGTTTATTTTTAAAACTAAACATGAAACTTTTTATTTATTTATTTTTTAAAATATGGCACATATAATTATATACATCACAAAGATACATGTTTAAACATGAAAGAGCTTATCAGTTATATTTTACGTATATATTTATGGATATTTTTTACAAAAACTGGCTCACAAAGTCTCTATATAAAAAAAAAAATTAAAATTAATAAAGTGATCATAATGTCATACTTCTTTAATTAGCCATATTTTGTGGTTATTTAATTTAACATAATTTGATATTTCTTTGTCTTTCAAGCATTGAACTTGTTTTGATATATTTCAATTTATTTTTATTTTGTAATACTTTCTCAGATTTTAAAAAGGACTAATGTCTGAATTACTGACAGCTTTTTGACCATTATAAAGTTGACAAAATCGATTATCTTGCCCATGCACTTCGGTTTGTTCTGCCTCTCATTTGATTTACCTTAAGCCTTGTTCACACTAGTAGACATGTTGCACGATTTTGATCTCTGAGACATGTTTCAGTTTTTCTGCATAGACATGTCTATAGGTTGACCTCTTGTTTGGTCTTTTGAAATACAATTTTCCTCCAGTTGAAATTTTTATGTTGAATTTAATAAAAAAAAGTGACTTGATCCAGTACTCAGGGGATTTTTTAATTGAATCCTTTGTTCGTTTTTCTCCTGGGTGTTTGCAATCATTAGCATATTATCACTCCCAATCTCAGCCCTCTTAATAACCTTCAAATATGTGAAAAACCTCCTGATGTCGTGGCCATATATAAAATAATCAATAATGCTATTAGCATGTCTTTCAGCGACTGAGAAGGTAATTTTATGCACCGACTTGTGGAGAAAATATTTTCCTATGAGCAAGTCATTTTCTACACAAAACTCAATTAACCATTGACCATTTTCATTCTTTGTCCTCTCACCTCCATGTGGAACCATCACACCATGTGCTCTCATGTGGTCATTACCTGTCTGTGAATTGAGGTATCTCATAATAAAGATACTCCAATTATTATTTTTGTTCTTAACCACGATACACTCCATGTCTCCATAGAACTCTTCTTTATCTAAAATGTTCGCATCGTTTGTCGGAGCATAAACCTGTATTAGGATCCAGTTTCCAATACAAAAATTTATATTGACTGTTAATATCCGTGAATTCACTAGCTTCCATTCCTCTGCCCTCCTGAAAACCTCATCCTTTAGTATCTCAACTTCTACTGATTACAAACACCCAGGTACTTAATGAATTTAAGACATATGACAGTATCGAGGTTAAAAAGGTTCAAGACCCTCAGGTTAGACAGTGATATGAATATGAACTGAGAGGAAGAGAGCAGGAATTGAATGCGAATGCTCACTCCATAAGGATGTCTCCAAGGATGGTATCTTGTAGTTGCTGCACTGGTCTGTGGAGTGAAGGATATCTACAAAACACATGTACTACCTGGTGAAATGATGAATTAAAAGCACTGATTAGTAAGAAGAAAGTAGTATGGAAGGTTTATGCAGCAAAAAAACAACAGAAAAATGGCAGAAATATGTATTGGCATGGAATAGAACCAAAGAAGCGGTGAAGGCGGCAAAATAGAAATCTTGGGAAGGAAAATTTAGAGAGAAATTAACCAGGATCATGCTGAAAATATCAAATTATTCTGGAAGAAAATTAAAGCATTGACAGGTCACAAAAGTAAAGAGATAAGGAATATAAAGCTATGGAAAAGACATTACAAAAATCAATTTGTAAATGAACATGTGTACCCTGTGGACAGTCAGGAGGACTTTGGAATGGAGATGAATTTGACGATATGATAGAGGAGAAAGAAACTGAATGAGCTATCAAAAAATTGAAAACAGGGAAAGCTCTGGTACGAGATTATATAGTTGGCGAATTTGTAAAGTATGAGGAGATAGATTTTTTTTTTTAACTTTCTGCCAGGCATTGCTGCCATACAGGGTTTGGCAGTAGTGGGTTGATACATTGGGATTCCCATATGCCCTCTACTGTCAATAAACTATTCTTTATTTATAATTATTTTATTTTACAATATATTAAGGATTGTTTAATTCAGGGAAGAATTCATATTTTGGGTTTCTTAACTGTGGTGTGGCCTGGAACACGGCCCTGCACCTTACTGTTGGAGCCTCACTTTATCATCTGTTTCCAGTCCGGGATCCATGATTTGCTTTGCTGCATCCGTCCAATCATCCTAGACTATCCCTAGTCTATGTCTGCCTGTTCTTCTTCCTGTGGTGGTAACCTTGCCTTTCCTCAGGTGAAATCCTATGTGGTGTACAAACTTTATATGTCCATCCTGGAAAGTAGATTGAGACCTTTGGTGGAGCTGCTCATAGGAACAGGCGGATTTACGGGGAGGAAGGGGGCTTTCGGGCTGAAGCCCCCACCCCAAAACGGTAAAATATAACAATGTTTTATAGAAAAAAATTTAAAAACTATCTCTTTAAGTATTATTGTTCGTGTAATTACATTAATTAGGACTTCAAGAATCACTTAAATACCATTTCATATAGGTAGTTAGTATCTTTCTTTCTGTTTTCAAATTAATTATCGTTATATACACGGACAAATCTATTAGATCTATCACACGTATCTATTAGTGAGGAGGGGGAAGTTTTAATTTAATTTTAATAGACTTATTTTAATTATGTATTTTTTCTATTTTCATTTCATCCCTATTATCAGTAGTAGTAGAATTTTTAATTATCCATTTAAGAATTTTGAGAACCAGCCATATTAACTTATTTTTTTGCATGGGACATTTTCCTTAAGATGTATTTTATTATTTAACGTAGGCAGGAATATAACTTGACATATGTTAAGCAACTCGGTAAGTCAAAACAGTTATGACGGATGGAAACAGGAATGTCAACACTCGAGTACTTTCGGTGTTCGTCGGGAATTTGAGAATAGCGTGGGTGATCTTGAAAATTTTGGCCATTGAAGTAGTGAAAGGGAACTAGTATTTTTATTTTTAATAAATTTTAAAATTGAATTTACTTAAGTATACTTTACTTACCTTATTTCGAAAATACTTACTTTGTTGCTTCTTTTTTTCCTACATCAACTAACTTTTCGAATAGGAATTTTTATCACAATTGTGACATTGTATCTGATATTCCAGGAAAAATTTATATTTATTAAATTTATATATATATAAGCATGGAGTATATATATATATATATATATATATATATATATATATAATATATATATATATATATATATATATATATATATATATATATATATATATTAATTTTATGGAATAAAAATTTTATTATAGCCGTAATCTTATTTCCACTTTAAAGCCTACAATCTTTGAAACAGCTGGATTTTACTATTAATTATATAACGTTATATAAATGAGTACTATTTATTCTTTATCACATATTTTAGATATCAAAAGCTTCCCGCTCCCTATGTAACTAACTGACAAGGTTATCCGCCGTGGATAAAATCATTTTGACAAAACATATGTCAAGAATGAAACCACGTGTGAAGTAATTAATTAGTAAAGCAGGAGTTTAGAGTAGTGCTAGCACTCATGTTAACCTCACATGAAATATTTTAGAACCTTTCTGACCTTAGTTATAAATGCAATAGCTCTTTTAGAACCTTGTGCTTGTGACTGTATAATAGTAAGAAGGCTTGCAGGAGCCAGCCCAGCTGATATTGGAGACTTCCCCTACCTTGTTGCAGTTTTACACCCAGAGGTAAATGATAGAGAAGTAAAGGTTAATTAATTAGTAACGGGGGGAGAGGGAGTTGAAAGGATTGAGACCTGGATCATTAAATCTTAACGAAAAGGGAACTTTATTTTTTTTTTTAACATTACATCATAGAGATATGCAATATAATTAGTAATTAACTAAAAAAATATATTTCATAATAATAATAAAAAAAAACATATTTACAAAAACTTTAACATAGGCATCAAAATACATTTGATGAGTTTGTAGTTAGAGACATTTGGGATTCTCCATTATTCCAAGGACTTTACCAAGAAACATCAACTTAACCATCACTAGCGGATCCAGGATTTAATTTTGGGAGGGGCTTCAGCCCGAAACTTTTTTTTTTCATAAAAATAACGATAATTACTTTGGAAAAACAGAAAGAAACTAACTACCTATATGAAATGGTATTTAAGTTATTCCTTAAGTACTTTTAAATGTAATTACACGAACAATAATACTTTAAGAGGTATTTTTTAAATTGTTTCCCATAAAACATGGTTATATTTTTCCATTTTGGGAGGAGGGGGGGCTTAAGCCCGAAAGCTCCCCCCCCCCTGTAGATCCGCCCGTGTTAACCATCAAAAGTAAAGAACAATTATGCATTGTTCTTTCAAGCACCAACAAATTTTAAAATTAAAAACGTTCTATTGTTTAATTCATAGGCAGGGAATTTTTATTATTAGAAGCCGCATTTTTGTTCGTCGGTGATTGCAAATTTATTGTTTAGTTATGTAAGAAAATTTTATTTTGATGATGTCGTAATCTATGTAATTAAATATTAATTAATAAAAGAAATGGCATGGCTCAGAGCATGGTAGCAGGTTCTCCACCTGTGGTTTAATATATAAAAATTGCCATTTAATAACCTCAGCTAAATAAATACTAATTTTCCTTTATGAAATCAGAACATTTGGCGCTTGTTATAACTATATTTGACTTATAAAAAAGTTTGTTTTCTTTGCATGCCCCTATAATGTTTTTGTATCGATAAATGAAGTCGAAATTCATAAAAAGCATTTTTGAAAATTAACCTATATCAAAAATACTTAGTGACTTTTTACTTAGTTTAGATATTTTCAAGTATATATAATAATTAAAACAAATAAATTTTAATATTAAAATTATAAAAAGTATTCAATATTATATTTATTTGTTTCACAATAATTATGTTGAATTTTTACACATAATAAAAACTCCCGCCATTTTTTTTTCTTAATCCATCGCCCCTCCAATAAAAATCAGAAGTCTCCGCCTATGAATTAGATGCTTGCATGAAAAAAAAAATGGCGTAAATTTCAGCTTCAGTATAATCCATGTACTAAAGAACTTATTAAAATTGAAATTGAAATAGAGGAGAGCCCCATTGATTTCACAGTGTTCTTCTTGATACAGTGCAATAACTGAAAATGTGTTTTTTGGACTCAGGTGGGATGGGAAACATCAAGATCTATTGAAAACTGCACTTCGGAAATTTGACCTGATTGCAATATTTTCCTGACCAGCACAGGCGGATTTAAGGGGGGCTTTCGGGCTGAAGGCCCCACAAAACGGTAAAATATAACCATGTTTTGTAGAAAAAAAAATTAAATACTATCTGTTAAAGTATTAATGTTCGTATAATTATATTTAATAGGACTTCAAGACTCACTTAAACACCATTTCATATACGTAGTTCATTTCTTTCTTTTTTTTTCAAATTAATTATCTGTATATAGATGAAAAAAAATCTTTCGGGCTGAAGCCCTCCCCCAAAATTAAATTCTGGATCCGCTAGTGCTGACCAGTAGGGGTAGGAAAGTAAAAAAAGTTCACATTTATTTAAAAACAAAATAATAGTGTGTCTCAAGGGTGTGGTGGGGACTGGGAGTGTGACCTTACACCACTACTGATCCAGGATTTAATTTTGGGGTGCTTCAGCCTGAAAGCTTTTTTTTTTATGCATAATGATTATTACTTTGGAAGAAACATAGAAACTATCTTATTACTTATATGAAATGATGTTTGAGTGATTCTTGAAGTCCTATTAAATAATGAATGACAATAATACTTTTTGAGTTAATTTTTTAATATTTACTTCATATGACATGGTTATATTTTACCATTTTGGGGTGCTTCAGCCATTACAATACTATCAAAGTGTAAGGACCAATAAAATGCATTTTAACTAAATGATTTCTTTCTTTCATTCAGAGAAAACAGAGAGAAAGAAAAAACAAATAGGAAGATATTTCTTAGATGACAGTTTTAAAGTTGGAAAGACTGGTATAAGCTAACTCATATAAATTAATCGTGAACCATGCTTGTGACAAAGTTGCATAACCACCACTTTTCTCTAATTACTTTTGCAAATATGCACAAAAAAGTTGTTATTATTTGAGTTTTAATTATTATAATATAATCTTTATCAAAAATAAAAATTGGCAATTTGTGCAAATACCCAATTCTGGTTAACAGATGATGATTGGTTTAGAAATAAAATACAAATTTATATAAAACTATGTAACTGCAGTAAGTTACATTTTTATTAGATCAGTAATTGATACATGTGTATTGACTTGCTGCATTTGATATTGACTTTAATTGGTAAGGAATTGGTTAATCGTGAGGAAGAAGGGGTCTCCCTAAAGCCTAGATTAAGTTCGTTAGCCAGGAGATTCAGTTTCAAGATTCAGGAGGGAATGAAAATCAGGCTTGGAAGGATCAAAGAAAAAAAATTGTATTGTAGCTGTCGGGCTTCAAAAGTTTAATCGCATTTCTGCACTAAAAGAGGAAATTGAGAATTAATGGGTTTCTAATCACATTTAAGAAAATGTGTCAACGAAATGAATACAAATCATTGACGAAGAATTTTAATATATGTATTTTTAGTTGGCGCATCGTGAATAGACATACATGTTGAACAGGATCAAATACTCCTAATTTAGGTGAAAAACGAAGGCAGAAAAAAGTAACTGTGTTATTGTTACTATCGACTATGGTAATAATTAAAGGAATGTTTTTTGTTTGATGGATATTTAATTAACTTTCAAAATTATTATAAATATATACAAATCCCATTTTTAGTGTGTAACCAATACAAAAAAAAAAATGAATGATAAAATGATGGAGTCATGTACATGTATGGTATTGGCATAAAATTTTAATATGGACTGCAAAAGCTAATAAAAATACACAACCAAACCATGGTTGTGTTTTGAAGAATTTGATAATTCTTCCTCAGTTAATAAAAAAAGGATTTCAGGATCACCACTGATGGATGAACATGAGTACATTCGTTCATGGAATGAAATCTTCTCTTCTTATACTTCATAAAAGACTCCTTCAATTCTGTTATAAATTGAGAATAATTGAAAAAAAAATGTGCTATATCAATTTTGTCGAATTCCATAATCTACTTCCTCTTACATGATCCAACGCATTTCCCTTTATACTCTATCTCAGAAACCGCATGTTAGATTTGGCACAAATTTAGGGATGAAAAATGATCGAATGGGCATCAAATTCCACCCCTTGACTTAAAAACATAGTCTGACTTACAGGCGCTCTTACTTATTTTCCTTTATAGGCCTATATTTCAATATCCGCTATTTCGATTTGGTCCGTTTGTACCGATTTGGAGGATAGTGTAAGAATGGTCTTCGATAAATTTCATTTTAATAATTAAAATTAATGTCTTTCATATTTTATATTTAACTATTTTTTATATCAAAGATTAATGTGAAATGGCATTTATATGAAAGTATTTCAAATAAAAAAAATAAAAGTACTTTAGAGAAAGCTAATATTAAAAATTATCCATTTAAGCCCAGTTAGAGAACATCAATGAGAACAAAACCTAGATTATATTAAAAACTGATTAATAATAGACTGATATAATGAATTCAACAAAAATCGTTTGAGCCGTATTGATGTGCTAAATCGATGATATAAAGTACCACTTTCGGTATGCCAATTTTGAAGAAAATGTTGCTGTTGCTCACGAGACCCCTTCGTCCAGTGCACGATGAATTGTTTCATTAGATTCATCATTTGATTCAAAAGGCACTCCCACGTCTCCAGTTGGTATGTTGAGGTGAAGTGTCTCTATCCAATTCTCTTCTTTTTTTTTTATAGTTCTGGCTGTACATTCTAGGTGTATTTATTTTTAAAAATATTCAACCAAAAAACCTACTTAGTTTCTTGATTATTACTTGTTTCTCTTTCTGTTCTCTAAACAAGAGATCACAGTACTTTGTAAAATTCATAAAGGTGGTGTTTTTGATCCCATGAACACTTGGGGAAAGAATAAAACAAAAGTTTCATTTTACAAAAGTAAAATGAATGAATTTAATAAATTTCTAAATACCAATGAAATTACACATTAAATTCTAAATGTGGAATTACAATTTATTAGAACCAATTTCTTCAGTAATTGTGTTTTGCTTCACATTCCAAGAGATTCAAAAAATTTATTTACTTCCCAAAAATACTACTTTAGTTCAAAATTTGGTTCATATGGTTTCAAAATATTTTGGATGTGCAAGTGAATGACATTCTATATGGAAGTAGCAAGTGGTAGTAATAATAAGGAAAAGTCAGAAGTTTTTTAAGAAAATAAAAAATTTACATTCAATTATAACTGTTCTTTGCAATACTGAAGATGACCTCTGGATACTTTAAAACTGAATTCTGTGAAAAATGTGCATGTAATATTAATAGAGGAACCGTTGATTAAAATTCTCACTGAGAAACATTTCATGCTCCTCTTCATAGGGCAGTTTCAGAAGAAAACATGGAATAACTATCCTTTGTACCTTTGAGGATTAACTTTATTGAGATTTTCATAGCTTACCTATTTTATGTTTTCATTTGGATAACCATCTTTACTGGCTGTAGATGTGTGAGTATACAGCAAAAATCTTAAATGATTTTGATCTGTTCATGTGTCCTGTAATGATGTTCACAAACCTGGTAATTGTCTATAGGGTACACATTCAAATATATGACAACTTGACTATCGAAATTTAATTTTGATAAAAATGCACTAGAAATATTGTTACACAATTTCCAAAATTGTGGAGTAACACCATTAGCATACAAAAAAGTCTCTTTTCGTAGAATTGCCCATATACGTTTTGTTGCTTAGTTGAACTAATTTTAAAAACATGATAGAAAGGATAAAGCTAATATTACCTTTACTTGTACAATCTAGTAACTTTACTAGATTGATAGTTTTGTTGATTGATTGATAGTTTTGTATAAAATATTTAATACTAAATAAATTTCTGTTAATTAATTAGATATATGTAGATGGAAACTTATGTTTATTGTTGCAAACTTAATCACATTATTATAATTTTGATAGGTAAGATGTACTGGAAGCTTGGTAAGCAGTCAATGGATACTGAGCGCTGCTCATTGTGCTGTCTACGATCGAAAAATTATCAAGCCGTCAGATATGGTACTTGTTGCAGGTGTTGTAGACTTTAATGACACAAAGTCAAAAACAAGGCAAATACGAAAGGCCAAATCCATATATCCGCATCCGAATTTTGAGGTATACAAATTTTTTTTATAAATTGATTGGTTGATATTTCAGAGAAACTAATTAATTTTAGTTATATTTAGAATATAAATTTTTGAAAATAGTTTTTTTTTTTTGCTTAATTCTAATTGCCTAATATTTACAATATTTTATAAACAATTGTTTAGTGAAACAAATTATTAAGGAACTGTCCTTAACAAGCAGTGTGAATAAATCCTATTGCTTTCATCATTAACGGCCTATCTTAGGCAAAACAATTTTCAATTTCGGCCTATAGCTACTGATATTAGTACGTTAAAAATAACAAACTATGTAGATTTCAAAATTTGTAAAGCTAATTACAATTTTAATCAATTAATTTTTTGAACATGATAAATTGGGATTTTCATTCTGTAAAATTTCTGGAAAACTGCTTTTTGCAGTAATTTTTAACAAAAAACATTTAAATTTTTTTTTTTTTTTAAGGACCATTCTCTGGAACTACTGAGCATAACGAGCTCTATCAGAACTCAAATTGTAGCTGATAAATTCACTTCAAAGTAGTTCATGATCATTACATTCGAACTGATAGCTGTTTTCTTGATATTTGCAAAAAAAAAATACTATCGATTGAAGAAATGTTGGTTTTAAATTTTGTTTTCCATTTTTAAGCCCTCCCCCTAACTTCTGCAGAGATTTTTTGATCTGGAAAGTGCAAAGATTCTTGCTTGGAATGAATCATTTTCAAATTATGCAATTTTTATGACTTTCAACAGGCACCACTTAGAAATGCCCCCTCTCCCTCTCATCTTGGTTAGTATTGGTAATCTAGTGCAAATTAGATGTTTATTAGGGTTGTTTTTACGATGTTTGACTGAAAGTTTTCTTCAAAACTAATAGCCTTACGCTGTCGTACACCTCTGTCTATCTTGGGCCATGGTTTTCTCGTTAACTCTATGCAGCTCTGTAATATTGTCATTGATTCTGGGTATACTTTTGGACTTTGAACTCCTACATGGTAAATTTTCTTCCCCATAACTGATCTAAAGTCTGATTTAAGTTTGGGACAAATGAATTATCAATGCTTTTGTTCGATTGTTTAAGTTTTGGGGTGCCCAAGAACTTCTCAAGTAATGTTTTATAATTTGAAATTTTTATGATTTCGTTTCTGGCTAGTCGGATGTATTCCACTAACATCAGAACATTGTAGAAAACTGTATGAATGAGGAACAAATAAAATGGTGGATGGAAAAGTGAAAAAAAATTGTAGGCAGTCTCCACTTATTGGATTAATTTCTCTTTGAAAATACTCTCTCGAGCGTATGAAACATTTGTCTACCTTTGTTTTTGCCTACAAAAATATTTTGTTTCTCAAGTTCATTCTTGCTTGCTAACAAATGCTCTTTCAAACATCAGCCTCTATTTTCCCAAAAGATGAGATCCCTACTAAATTAAATTAAAGATTTTTGAATAAAGTACAATTTAATAGAATAATTGTTTTACCTGTCAGATACTGAAATAATAATGATTATTATAAAAAATTTATAAGAATTAAAATTCAATGCTATTTTAAATTTTTGTACTAACGTAGTACCTATTATAGGATATACCGGGCTCTGCTTAGGTACCTTGGCTCCCCCTCATAAAATTTGGCTACTTTCATGAAAGTTCATATCTTTTTAAACAAATTTTATAGTGGAAAGATCTAATTAAAAAAAAATTTCACAACCAAAGACATTGTAATAAAACTATTTTTTAACAAATCAAGTAATTTATTTACAATTTTTCAAGAGAAATATAATACTGTTTTTGCTTTTAGGAACTGAAGATAGCTGGGTCAGATATTGCTCTAATAAAAGCCGAACGGCCTTTTGAACTAAATAATGAATACGTATCAGCCATAAAGGTGTCAGGCACTCCATTTACTATAAACTCAGATACAGCTTGCACAGCTAGTGGATGGGGTTAGTAAGCATCTTATGTAAGCATAAATTATGTTATTGCTTTATTTTTATGATGATAAATAATGATATGTTTGTGGTCATATCGTTTATTGTAGGTATTATCTAATAATTAGTGAAAATAAAATTTGAAAAAAATTATTTTATCATAAATAATTGATGGGCCTTATATCATAGGATATTAGTCTGCTACATGCCCTTGTCATGTTGTCTCCAAGTTATAGGTTTATGAAATCAGTAATAGTGGATCAATTGAATCAAATTTTGACCTGAGTATAGTTTAGTGACTATAGAGATTAGAGAAGTTTGGAAGAAATCAGACAAGGGAAAGGAATCTGATAGAAAAATATATTCTCGCAATATAAGGTAAATCAGGAATATTTTATCTATATAATCTCTGAATGGATATAAGTGAAACTGCCCCACCAGGTCTAGCTCCGTCCATTTCCTCACCTCACCACTGATCTCACTTCATTCACAGCTCGTTAATTACATTATTATATTACCTCCCATTATTTTCTATCATCATATCTACAACTGAAGAAATATTTAATATATTAATAAAAAAAATTCAGGACTAAAAACAAAATTAGACGTAAATTGGAAAAACAGGAAGAAGAAATTATAGAGATAAAATCACAGTTTAACGAACTGACAACTAACATTCAAAATTTTAAAGAAAGGGATGAAAATCTAACTTGAAAGAGAAATGTAATAATATTCGGCTTCGAAAGGAAAAATCTATCTGAAATGAATAAAATCATAATGGAAATATTCAATTATATTATATCAAACTTATTATAATATGATATAATGGAAATAACTAAAATTAACCCCAAAAATAAAAATCGCTCAGTCAGCGATGCCCAGAAAGAGGAGTTTCAGGGCGCAAATCAAGCCATCAAAATTCTTGAGAGAGGCACATTTAGCCGGGGTTTAAATTTTGGAGGGGGACGCGTTTTGATTGGGTTGTGAATATTCAGAATGAAATGTTTCAAATCAAGGTTCAATAGGAAAGCTAATAACAGAACACTGAAAGTGTAATTCTACTCTAGCTTACACTTTTTTAAGATGAGGAGAGCAATAAAATATCTTGGGAGAAAGAGGGGGCAGAGGTTTTTGCGCTATTGACCTTGGAAAAGGGGGTACGGGCACTCCTTGTACTGGTAATAATTAAGCTTAATTCAATATTTTTTTTAAAAAAGATACTATGAAAAACAAATTTAAATTGGCGAAATCCGATGAATTTATATCAATAAAAATGAAATAGGATGTGCCAAAGTCTGTCAGAAATATCAGAAGAGAATTATTTCCATTTATGAAAGCTCATTGGGGGAAAAGAAATAAGGCAACTTTGAGGTACGACAAACTTTTCATAAACAATCAACTTTTCTCATTAGAAATTTAGTTCCAAGAAACTTTAAGAAAAAAAAAAAAAGAAAGGAGTGAAGATAAAGACAGAGAAGCAACTGTAGACAATATGTGTAAACAATCAGTCAATGTCTAAAAGAAAAAGAATAAAAGGTAATAAAACTCACCACAGTATAAGTTTGGATAGATTTCTGGTGACTCATGAAGAATATAAAAAAAGAAGTGAATAAAAATGAAACTCCAGGTTCTAGTTCATAGCTAATAGAAGAACATCTTTTTCATTGTGACAACAAAGGCATTCTCAAGGTTTGTTCATTAAACGTTCGGCAACTGACTAATACATTTTTGATTTATTCAATGTTTACAAGTAGGTAATTCTTTTTTTTAAAAAAAGGTAAAGAGAAAATGGACATGTTGTTCATCCAAGGGCCACAAGTTTGAACTCAATTATTTCCTCACAAACCAAATCAGTTTTGTTAAAAATTTAGAGATTATAAACAGGTTTAATTTCAATATAGATTATACAATGCTAAGATCAGAGTTGTATGTTGAAAGGTACAAGAAAAGGAGACCATTTAAAGTGAAAAAGAAAACTATTATTTTTCAAGACCGAATTTAAATAGAAAAAATCCTTACCAATTTTCTAAGACATATTCACCATAGATATCAATACAGAGAAGAAAAGGCTTTTACCGTTCAGGAAAGATATAACCATATCACCAAAGCTATTGATGACACAACTGCACCAGGTCACAGCTTTGTTAAAAATAAAATGAATAAATTATCAAATGATGCTAAAGAACTTTTTAAAATTTGCAGAATGATAAAAGAAATAGAAGTTACTTCTGAAAGCGAAAGGAAAGATCTCACGGTTCTAAATAATTTAATTAGAAAAACTATAAGGAAAGATCTGGAAAAATATAACATCCATATTATAGAAATTTTTTTATCAAACAAAAAATCTACAAAAATAATTCAAAAAGGACTGTTCACCGGATTGCTGCTCTTGAAAGAAATAAAAGAGAAATCATAAACAACAGAGATCACATAAGTAGAGTAGCCATGAAATAGTTTCCTGAAGTATTAGAAACAATTAATGATGAAAAGATATTCAAAACTGGAGGAAATACCACCAATAATGGAAGGAAAAGTTGAATTCATCTTGAATAAACTTTTTTTTTTTTTTTGCACTTACATATATTTATCCGCACCTGTCAATTATAACTATTGACAATCAGCAGATGTGCTGGCAGAGTCATGAGAAAAAAAAATAATAATAAAAAAAAATAAATAAATAAAATGGCTTGATAGGCATGAGGAAAAGCAATACCCAGCGGCATCCTTTCCATGGCTTTTACTTACTTACATACAATTACGTAAGTAGGTCCCTCATCCAGACCCTTTTCAGTCGTCTTCTGGAGTTCTCCGGCATAATAGTCGTGGCCATTTCATTAATTAGCTGGTTGGAGTGTCCATGTAATTTATTATGGAATCGTTTGTAGTAAGTTCGTATGTGTTCATTGATCGTTGGCATGTGTAAGTCAGTATGTAAAGTGTTATTATTCACGTACCAGGGTGCTTGGGTAATTAGTCGTAGTATCTTAGACTGAAAAGTTTGAAGTCGTTTTATGTGTGTTGGTTTTGCAATTCCATACATTTGTAGTCCATAAGTCCAGAGAGGTTTTAATAGGTATGTATAAATATTTAATTTCTGTCTTGCTTTTAATTTAGAATGTCGTCTTAGTAATGAATGCAATAGTTTTAATCTGTGATTTAGTGATGCACGTTTTTTCTTTACATGTGGACCCCACGTCATTCTTCTGTCAAACGTCAGGCCTAGGTATTGTACTCTATCTGTTTGTGGAATCGGTATGTTGTTTAAGTATACAGCAGGGCATGTTTCTAGTCTTAGAGTAAATGTAATGTGTTGTGACTTTTGATAATTTATTTGAGTTTTCCATAGTTTACACCAATCGTTAATTTTTTGTAAGTGATGTTGTAGGTTAAGTGATGCCTGTGTATTATTATCGTGTCTAATAATGATAGCAGTGTTGTCTGCGTAGGTTGCTGTAAGTGTGTGGATACTTTGAGGAATGTCATGTGTGTATGTTATGTACAGTAGTGGGGCTAAGATTGACCCCTGAGGTACGCCAGCTAAGATAGGTCGAATTGAGGCCAGACCTGAACCATGCCGAACGGAGAAAAATCTGTCTGAGAGAAAGGAGTGAAGAATTAAGTAGTAGGTTGGTGGAAGTATGGTCTTGAGTTTGAAGAGAAGCCCCTGAGCCATACTTTGTCGAAAGCTTGGGCGACATCCAGAAATACTCCGGTTGCATATAGTTTTCGCTCTAGTGCTGTCGATATGTAGTCAGTTACCCTGTGTAATTGTTGTGTTGTTGAATGTAATTTTCGAAACCCGAATTGATGGTCAGGAATAATCTGTTTGTCTGTTAGTATATGTAATAGTCGTGAGTATAATAGTTTTTCAAATAATTTAGAACACACTGGAAGCAAACTAATCGGTCTATATGAAGAAGGATTGTTAGTTTCTTTATCTGGCTTTTTAATCATGGTTATATGAGAGTATTTCCATTGTATTGGAAATTTTGTGTTCCTAAGAATGCAATTGAAGATTGTGGTGAGAAACACTAGAGCTTTCCTTGGCATTTGCTGGAGCGCCTCAGCATTTGAATAAACTTAAACCTGAGAAAAGTCCTGGACTGGATAATATCAGCAATGAAATTTTAAAAGCAAAAGGGAATACTCTAACTGAGCTACTTAATTTGAATGAATACCTAATTTTTTCGTTTCTTTATCAAAATGTTATTGAAAAACAGCAATGTTTTATCTTTTTCTGTTCTCTGATCTGTAATGATATTTCATTCTCATAAACTATACTTCAATAATTTTTTTGAATCAGATTCAATCGTGAAGAAACAGCTCTGTAACACCTTTGTTTATTCAATCTACACATCTGATTTCTGGCCTACTACGTGGTCTATTGCCTAATATTTAGGCATTCACTTTTGTAAAAAGACTTTCTGACAGATTGCTTCATGCAACATGGTCTACCCATCTTAAAATCTTTAACTTCATATATCATGGGATATTAGTTGAACTGTCTTTGTAAGCAGCTATTTATTCGTATTCTACTCCATTTATTAGTATATATGGAATAAGATTTATATAATATTCCATGTATTATAGAAATATATATATATATATACTTAATTCGAGATTCCTAGAGATTTTTTGGGATTTCAATAACTTTAAAACAGAGGAGAAAGCTCTGTTTACATTTGTTATATACGCTATCTGTTTCTGATCATTGGTAAACAAATAAAAATTAAAAACCATTATTCATCCAACAAGATATTTTTAACTTAGTAATTTAGAAATAAAAGATATATATATATATAACTTTTATCTCTTTAACTTAAAGGTAAAGTACTGTTTCCAAGGCCAATTGTTGAGCAGAGATGTGCTTGGGCCGAATTCATTCTCAAATGGCAGGTTTTCTCCCTTAATTAATTAAGGGTATCCTCTTTATAGAGCCTGGGTGTTCTCTTGAAGTATCCCTGATCCCAGAGTTGATCCACTGCTGATTTAACAGAATAAATAATTACCTGCCACAGTCTGAATTGAAGTTCTTGCCTTATTCAATGAGATCCTCAGCTCTGCTGTATATATGTATATTGTACTATCTCTCTTATATTTTAAAAATAGTAATAATATAACCTTGGAATATCACTTTAATACTATTGGGATACTTCCTAAATAATAAGAGGTGATTAAATGATAAACAAAATTATAAGAGTATTAATATGTTTATTTATCTCAGGTGTGGGTTACTGACAATTAGATTAAAACACTCAGGCAAACTAAAATTAACATTTCTAAACACTGTTTGATTCTAAAATAAAGTCAAATATGGATTGGCGAGCTAACCTTTCTTCTATATATACTGTTTTTCCTTTGCTGCTCTAAATTCATTTGTCTTCTAACATTTTGATATGATCTGCCAAACATATCTTCCAAAATGGTGACACTTTCTTCTACTCAACTTAAGCTCCCTGGGAGATCCTCTCTCTTGTAATTCCAAACAACTACACTCTCTGCCAAATAAAAACTTCCAAGATGGTAATACTATTACAGGGTTTTACCCACTGGAGTCAGGATTTCTTCTCCTATCCTCTCTTCACTGCAGCCACACAACTGCTTGCCAAAACAAATCCTTTGTTCCATCCCCTCTATGGGATTTTCTTTTTTGGGGAAACTACAGAGCAGTTATTTTCTTTTCCCTGAACTAATTGTGATGTCAGGAAATCATTTCAGGAAACAAATGAGGCTATGTTGAAAACTTTATATCACAAATACACAAAACACCTTTATTCCTCTACAGAAATATCACACTATCAGTAACAAAGGACTACTGCCCTCTGGGTGACCTCACCCAAGCCAACCTGCCTTTCTTTACAACAGCTACACTACTGCCAGATAGCGTGAATTAACTCTACACACTCCCACCTTTATAATTTATGCTCTAAATTGTAAACTGATTTAAAATAACAAAACCAAATGTAAAATATTCAACACAAAAATGTACAGGTTGATCAGTTGGGTGATCAGTTAAATAAGAAGGCAAAAAATAAATGATAATATTTATTTTGACATTTGCCGATGTTTCGACCTGAAGTTCAGGCCATCATCAGGGCTGACTGCAATGAAGTAAATCTAAACAAATCCATTTGTTTTAGTTTGGCCAAGAACTGTCCAACCTAGCCTAGTTTCTGTGGCTATCAAATTTTCAGTAATTGGTTCTAACCTTTCTGTCAGGTATTGTTCCATGACATTTGTTCCAAGTACCAACTCTACTTCTTGTTTGTCTTTCCCTCCATCGCCATCGCTCCATGGTATATTCTTACCTTTTAATATATCTAGGCATTCATCATTTGATCAAGGGACATCACTGCAAAGTTTTATGTTTTCCAACTTCGCTTCACCAGAAAATTTACTTGTTAAACTTTGACATCGTGTTTCAACTTTTGTTTCAACGTCCCCAAAAAGGTTATATGAAAGTATTTCTTCCTTTTCTATCTGTAATTTGTCTCTTGAAGGACTGATAGTTGCTGAAATATCATCGTCATGCCAAGTTTTATTTGAATGTTCAACCAAAGCATCAAATTTACTTTTTATTTCTATCCACTTGTCCTGATAAATTATGGATGCATCATATTCATCCTCCAGTTCTTTTTCATCAATATTTTCATCAACTATTAAAGCTCTTACCTTTTTCTCAAATTCTAATAGATGTTTAGCTCTTGCTTATATTTGCTAAATTCCTTTTTCAACTCGGGATCATTTTCAGCTATCTTATTTTCTACTGAAGTAGCTAAAGTTGTAAACAAATTTCTCCACTGAGCTCTTTCTAATTTGGCAGTTTTCAACTCTTCAGCACTCATTATCCTTAATTTCCCGCACACAAGAGATGTTACAATTTAATATTAGGGAATTACTTCAGGAAACAAATGATGCTTTGTTAAGTATTTGGCAGTTTTTAACTCTTCAGCACTCATTATCCTTAATTTCCTACACAAGAGATGCCACTATGTGATGTCAGGAAATCACTTCAGGAAAGAAATGGGCTATGTTGAAAATATTTTATATCATCTACACAAAAAACACCTTTATTCCTCTAGATATACATCACACTATCAGGAACAAAGGACTACTACTGTCTGGCTAACATCTCCCAAGCCAACCTACCTTTGTTTACAACAGCTACAGTGCTGCCAGATAGCATGCATTAACTCTACACTAATAGAACTAGATTAGCTTGCCTTTTAACTGTTGAACATTAATTTATTAAACCATTTTTACCCACTTCCAATAAAGGTGTATATTACAATATTCATATACAATTATTATTATTTTTCTCTTGGATTAAACATTTTTGATTTCTATTCTATAATTCCTTATAAAAATAATATGCTTTTATAAAACCATTCTAATAAGGTTGTAAAAGTTTCTCTATTCATATAGTTTTCTATTAATGTAGAAGTTATGAATTATTAAAACTTTTGTTGTGGCTAGGTGATACGAAAGACAGTAGTACCAATTCCAAGTTGCATCAGCTCAAGGTTATAGCAGTTCAGTCTAAATCAGTATGTCATGGATTAAGTACTCACGAAAGAAAAAACATGATTTGCTTGAGAAATAACGGTGGTTCTGGCCTTTGTGATGGAGACAGTGGTGGACCTCTTGTTTGTGAAGGTAAATGCTTTGGTATTCTAATAAATCTATATAAGTACTAAGCTATCAAAATTGGAGCTGTTATATGCAGTTAAATAAAAATAACCTATCTGAAAGCACATAAAACAACAACTGTGCATGTTCAATAAATGTTCTGTGGCTTTTTATTCAGTTTTTAAACAGGAACTATGGGATACACTAATTAGAAGAAAAGTATCAGCAAACATGGTGGGTGTCATTATATTTGTATATCATGATGAGAACAGTGTTGTGAGATTCATTGGTTAGATATTGGGAACTCTCCAGATTTGAACTATTAATACAGGATATTTTAGTTTTCCAAATTTTATTCTTTTTATGGATGACTTATTGGTATTATTTAAAAAAAGAACTCTAAAGCTGTTGTGGGGTATGCCAATGCCTTCTTAGGCTATGATATTTGAGCAGGAAGTGGTTTATACCTCTTAGCGACTATATGATATTCTGAAAAGCTATAAAGGCTACAATATTTCTGATTAAGGTACACTGAATAAGGTCATCACTCCTATGCTGTGTCCTTGTGTTTCTTCTGTTTGGCTGAGGGGCCTTATTTTTCTGGTGAAAGGGAGGATGATGAAATGTCTGAAGAACCTGATGCAATGTGTACTTTTCTTACTTGCGTACTTTCTTGTTTAATGAGCTTTTTATGTTAGAGGCTGATTGAGGTCGTGATGGCCAAGAGTGTTGGACGTTGCTGATTGTAGCGATGTCAGTTAGACCTGGGAAGAGTTGACTTTTATTTTGTGGTGGACGCATTGCACAGAATGAAACTCAACCTTCCCAATCTGGTTAGTATAGGTTTGGTTGTACTTCTAGAACAGCTCTTCCTCCTCCTCTCCCATATGCCAAAAATAATGGGTAGAGGATAATTTCCTAACAAAAAGTTGAAAATGATGTAATATAAAGTTGTGTAAATACACTTTTTTTTTACACAACCTATTTTTTTTTAAAATTGTTTCTTAGTGCATATTTCAATGCACTAGCAGAGGGAATTTCAGCTCGAAAGCTTTTTTTTTCATATATATAACGATATTTATTTTGAAAAAAAAAGAAAAATACTAACTACCTATTTAAAATGGCAATTAAGTAATACTTGAAGTTCTATTAAATGTAATTACACTACCAATAATACATTAAGAGATAATTTTAAATATTGTTGACCATAAAACATGTTTATATTTACCATTTTGAGGGGGGAAGGGGAAGAGAAGCTTCAGCCCGAAAGCCTCCCTCTCTCCTCCCACTCCATAGATTCATCTGTGTTTCAATGTATATAATCCCAAAATACACAACTTCGTTCCAGTAGTCTATAAATTTTCTTTAAGTTATCAAAAATTGAATAATAGTAAGCTGTTATATTTGCTAAGGTGCATATACATTAAAAATATTGACACCTATTACATCTTAAATTATGTCTATACAATTATTAAAGGCACAATTTAACTTCACTTAAAATTATTAATTATTATTCCTTTACTTGAACCCCAATGTTTTTTTTATGGTAAAATGGTTATAACTTCTGAAATTGTCTTAAATTGAAATCATTATTACAGATGAAGTTGTTGGTGTTGCTCATCAGGTGTACATAGAAAAGGTCAACTATACTGGGCCAAGTGATATGGATTGTGGATCCAGTACACTAGTTCATACATATATGTTTGTTTGTCCTTATCTTGACTGGATGCGTAACTTTGTTTATGAAACACCAAAAAAACCTAAGAAGTGTTTCTCTTTGAATATGAAAATGAGAAATAAAGCTGAAGAGTATGATTATCAAATTGATTACGAGCGAAAGTGAGTGTCACCATGAAACATTTCTCTATGAAGGAAACCGATTTTGATGTCTAAGAATGTGATAAAGTGAGTGAAACTATAGATGAAATAAATTTTTAAAAATAATTTATCTTTTATTTGTTATTTATTGCATTATTGTAGTCAACTAATAACTATTAGCTTTAATTTGAGTACAGTATAGTGTTTACTTTAGATTAAATGAATGATTATGATGTATCAACGTATGATATATAATACAAGTGCTTACAATTAATTTTACATGTTATTTTTCAAAGGCAGAGGTGCCTATTCTTCCAAGGTAGATGGTGGTGCATGAACTTTCCCCACCCCTCCCCAAGAAATGATATTGCTATCCTCTTCTTGAAAACTGTTCAAATGAAAGTAAAATTATAAAAATTTTAGATCATTAACAATTAAACTTCCTGTGGTCTGGTCCTTGTTCTCTTGTTTGAAAGCTTTTCCTTGGAAAATTCATAGCCCTGTCAAAATGTGCTCCCCTCAAAAATTTAAAATACCATCAAAATGTTAATGGCACAACTTGTACCATGAAACCCTCTTTGGGGCACTCCTGCTTAAAGGTATTTTCTTGGTGGTATGCCATATCTTTCTTTATATTTCATCAAAACACATAGTCACTCAGATACATCTGTTTTATATATATATATATATATATATATATATATATATATATATATAATATATATATATATATATATATATATAATATATATATATATATATATATATATATATATATATATATATATATATAATATATATATATATATATATATATATATACATATCCATTATAAAGCATTTTATTCCAAGTTTAACTAAAATTTGAAACAAATACTAACACCTTTCAAGTTAAGAAATTAAATTTTATCGATAAAATATTGTGTCTGCATAGAAATGATAATTATTATGGTTACATCTAAATAACTGCAACAAGCAAGTGAATAGTTTCAATCTAAAAGAGTTAAAATTGGAGAACATGTCATTAAGATTGTCTGTTTTGAACAATATTTAATATTATCTTATGAATTATATCCTTTTCAAAACATTTAATGATGAATTAATGAACAAATTAATTGTGAATATTTTATTTCTTTTTATCAAAAAAAAAAAATATATATATATATTTGTATAAATTTCCAGTTATGTTCTGTGTATTACATCAGTATTTTTTTAAAAATGATTATATTTTATTGTATTATTATGGATGTATGAAACAGTATAATAACATTACTAATTTAACATCATAACGTGTAATTAGTGTATTAAATATAATAAAATGACATTTAAAATTTAAAAAATAAATGAAATACTATACTCTACTCTATGTGATTTGAATAAAGAAACTAGATTTTACCATTATTCAAATCTTTTACAAATATAGAATAAATAAAAGTTATTTTGAATTACTGAGAATTCTTTTTTAATATTAATCTTTTTCATTTAAAGATGTTATTGAAGGAATCCAACACAATGCCTCAAGTTTCTAAAACACCTTCAGTAAATAACTAACCAATCAATATCTTTGGTCTATGAGATTAAATATAATAACCAATCAATGTTTAGCCAACTCAGGTGTCATTATAACAGAAAAAGTATAAGACCACGTAAATAGAAATCACAGATAACACATGTCGCATGAAAAAATGACAGTTAAATCAACAGAATAAGAAATAGTAAATTACTCCAAGGCAAATATACATCTATATTAATTTTTTTAAAACATTGATATAAGATTTGTGATTTAAGGTGTGCATGCTGGTGACCATGTCTTATTTTGCCATATTCCTTGAATGGTATATTGTATTAACAGAAATTAGTTTTATTTTATCTCATTAATTATTTTCTTGTTATTCCAGTAAAAGATACAATATTTTGTCTTTGAAACTATAGTTTAAACTAAACTAAATGTTGTAAGTAGTCTAATTTTGACAACTCTCTATTATATCTCATTTTCAATAGGGATTAGAAAAAGGAAGTCGGTTACAGAACTCTTAACTAAGCACCATTTTATTTTTAGATACTTGCAAAGTTCAAGGTTTTATAAATAATTCATAGGTCTATAAGTCATAATAATACAGAGTGAACTTTTTGGATTACTGTTCCAACTTGTTGGATTTTATGGCTGATGTTCCAAATATTAGTTTTTCAGAAAGAATTTTATCGTCATGCAATTCATCTTTTTTTTTAGTTCTTGGTTGGTTATAGATTACAATTATGCTATATTGAAAGCAGTGACAAGATTGTAGTAGGAATATGAGCTGTTTATCACCTGTAAGATGGAAAAAATACATATGAGTACAGTAAAAAACAGTTATTGGTATTTATGATTTAATATCATACTTTTGCAAAAGTATCCATATTAGCTGGAACCAAGCCACCAGCAACTAGTGTCATGGGCCTCAGAGTTACCTCTTGGAATATCTTTAGACTTGTTTTCACATCATTATCACAGAGATACCATTTTATGCAGTAGATTTCAAACCTGAGTTTTTCATTCTATAATGTTAAATAATATTTGTTAAAACCAATTAGTTTAATATTGTATATTAATTTTAAAATTTGAACACAGTTTCGGAATAATGAAAGTTTTTGGTGTTCATTTGTAAATTAAATTTTTCTTCATATTTACTAGTAGTCCATATTAAAGACCTCTTTTTATCAAATAACATCCAGCAACTTTGTAAATAACTTTATCTCATCTTAACCTACAACTATTTTATTTATGAAAATTTTTGGAATTGAGGAAATCTGAAGATCGGCAAACTTTGTCTATTTAATTAGGTACTAACAATTCTTAAATACCCATTTGCTTTCCACTTCGATCGTAAGATAATTTTATCACAAAACCGAGAAAAAATTAGCCTACAAAAATATTGGACTATTTGATCTATATAACCTCGTTATTTTGACATTTTGGGGGTGGAGATCACATTAAACGGCTCAATATTTTTGAAGGCCAAATTTTTTCTCAATTTCGTGCCCAAATTATCTTGTGATTGAAGTGGAAAGCAAATGGGTATTCACGATTTTTTAGTACCTAATTAAGTAGATCAAGTTCAGGCTACCTTCAGATTCAAAATGCCCCAGTTAGAAGAATTTTGGCAAGCAGTTGTTGTGTGACTGTAGTGAAGAGAGGATAGGAGAAGTGATCCTGGCTCCAGTGAGAAAAACCCAGTAATAGTGTTACCAATTTGGAAGAGTTGTTTGGCAGAACTTTGGAAAGTGTTTGAAGGCAAATGAGTTCAGCATCACAATGGAAGAAACATATAATATAGAAAAAGGTTAGCTTGCCCATCCATATTTGACTTTATTTTAAAATCAATCAGTGTTTAATTTTAGTATAAATAGTGTAGATATTAATAGTTTGTCTGAGTTGATCTGATTGTCAGTAACCCACACCTGAGATAAATAAATATATTAATATCCTTATAATTTTGTTTTTTATTTAACAACCTCTTATTTATTTTTGAAGTATCCCAACTTCCAAGGTTATATTATTATTATTTGTAAAATATAAGAGAGATGTTACAATTTCTTATAAATTATTTGAGTAGGTATTGAAACAGTGATTCAATAGTATAAGTATATGGTAAAAGCACCAGTAATTGACAGTGTACCAATACCTGATATCCTCCTCTTAAAATGTGAATAACACCATTTCAGGGTCTCCTAAGTCTCTATTTCAGTCTCTATTTTTTAATTTCTATATTTCCTCCTTGTATATTTTCTTGATTTTCTTTAGTTTTGTTGGAAACCGTAACCGAAAGAATGAGTGGCAAATTAGGAAGGTCCCTCATTGTTTGCTTAGGTGTCCCAGGAACAACCATCTAACAGTAAGGACACCATACCTTATGTTTGCCCTTTTCTCTTTAACTACTTTAATTTATCCCAAATCTTTTATTTTTTCTTAGAGTGTATTTAAATTATGTTTTACATGTTTTTTACCTATCATGATGAAGGAATTAGAAAGTTAATGGATGTCAGCTACTGGAGCCTTATAATGGGGCATTATAATTTAATGATCCGATCGTATTACCAGGGTCTATCAAACTTCAATTTTTATGTCTTAGAGATTGATAACATTAATTTTTTTTATGAATTGACTCATGATCACATTTAGTATACATTACTTTACTGGGCAATATTACTATATTCGCCAATATTTTATTAAGTTAATTTAAAATAACAATTAAGATGAATAGATATTTTTAACAATGGTACTTACACTTAGTTTTAGATTAAATTTGATTTATTGTCATAACAGTTCAGTGTAAACATAACATTCATATCTATAAAAAACATAATATTACTACAGATCTACATTATTTTCAGTAGTAACACAAATCTTAGATTTGCCAAACTTACTTTATTAATACTCCTACAGCAAATAATTAAACATGGAGACATGTTAGTATCCAACCCCCCTTTGATTGTATATTGACCAGTTTCAATACCACTTTCAAATTAGTAAAATTTAAATAAAACTTCTAAAAATGTTTCTTGTTGACCAACTACAAATAGTTCAGTGGCTAATCCTCCTCCACTCCTTACTTCTTTTTGTTTATGGCAAGGATTTTCTGTTTTGAAAGAGGAGAGGTTGGAAAACTAATATAATATATTATTAATCCCTCTTCCTCATCCTCTGACATGGGAAAACCCTCTCATAGCATAAAAGGATATATGAGAAAGGAGAGAAATAACAAAAAAAATCTGACATTTACCAATACCTGACATCCTCTTCGAAAAATGAGAATAATAAAATTTCAGGATCTCCTAGATCTCTATTTCATATATTTTTAGTTTCTATATTTTTTGGTATATTTTTCTGCATTGCTTTAGTATTACTAGAAATCACTACTATGCTAGTGTCCTAATATAAACACTTAGTGTCCCAGGAACAACCATCTGTCAGTAAGAGCACCATACCTTAGGTTTGCCTTTTTCTCTTTAACTACTCTAATTTATCCCAAAATGTTTGTTTGGTTGTTTTTTTTTTTAGTGTTTTTAAATTATTTTTTTATCTATTTTTAACTTATCTTGATGAAGAGATTGGATAATAATGGGTGCCAGCTATTGGATCCTTATAATGGGGATTTTTACCAGCATTTGACAGGCCTGTTCTCTCATAAATTCAAAGAGATATACTTAATATCATGGTCGTAAAAATAATATAAGAGTCTGGTAATATAAGGGTCTTAAAAATAGGAGTACTCACTATGGTATTGTTAACAAAAATGCTAAAGATTTGAATTAAATGAGAAATAGTTCTACAAGATGAATTCATGAAAAATATACTGATATCAATATTTAAGTTTTCACATGTAAAGGTTCAAAGAAATTTTCTTAATCATGTCAGCTACTGGTGCAATTGCCATACTTGTATTGTTTTTTTTTTTATATTTGATTATTTTTAAATGACATTATGAGTTGATTGTTTTGGATATATATACACCCACACATACATAAATACATAAACCGAATTACTAATTATTCACGATTTAATTAACTTTTGTTTTATTATATTGAAATCTTACAAAATCAATATATAAAATCTCATCTCATAAAAACCTACATAAGATATAAATGAAAAAAAAGGATTATGCTACAATCATTAAAAGTACAAGAATATTCTGATATATAAAATATTCTGTTATATAAAGTATTAATAAAATTACCAAGTCAGTTAGCCTCTGACTAAATATGGAGAAAAGAAACATATAGCCAACTTCACAAGCACAGAGTATTAATGCTGATATTGTAGTTCCTGGTAGTTCAACCCACTAAAATAAAAAATAAAAAATTACTTTCTCTTTACATATATATTTAAATTGGGCTATATAAAAAATATAAACTACATTAAAAGGTTTTTCGTTTTAAGAAGGGTACGTAGAATTGAAAAACCAAATTAAATGAAAGTATTTCTTACTGTAAAAAACAAGGAATGGAAAAATAGTGCATATATATTATTAATTTGAAGTGGGAGCAAATAAATCAAAAGAAATATAGAAGTATATATCTGTACCCCATAGGTAAAGAATACCATGTCCATTTTTGTATGTGTTCAGGAGAGCCAATGTTAAATAACTTTGAAGCTATTAAAATTTGTTTCTTAGTTACTAAATCTATATTCTGGAGATAAAGAGCAATAGTCACATTTTTGTATTTGTTCAGGGAGCCAATTTTCCACAACTTTGAGGCATTAAAATCTGTTTCTTAGTTTTTTTTTTATTTTTTATTAAACACCTCTGCCGTTGGCTACTAGGCCATTTGGCCATTTGGCTTCTGGCGGCCCAATACAACTCTGACATGAATCCTTCGTTTAAATTTATTCCGATCCCATCAGAAGTACTGCGGACATCTGACAGAGCGGGGCAAACTGGGAGGTGCAGGTCGTACATCTCGTCCTGTTTGCAAAGAGGGCACACAGGACTTTCCACCACTCCAATCCTGTGTAAATGCCTTTGCAGGTAATTGTGCCCTGTTGCCATGCAGAAATTTGCCACCGATTTGTTTTATTTATTTATTTTTGGTTTGTTTTATCGGCTCCTCTGTTAAACATTCCCATTTTTTCCCAGCTGCCTGTCGCTTTTGCCAACTCTTGTTCTCTTCCTAGTAAAATGATTTTAAAATCCTTTTAACAGATTCGTAGGGCAGCAGAGGATTAGTTTGTGGCATTTCTGAGGCGATCCGTGTGAGCTCATCAGCTTTTTCGTTTCCTGGTAGCCCGCAATGGCTTGGAACCCATTGGAAAGCCACTCGAATTCCTTTTCTGATTAAGTCATTAATCCGATTTCTGGCACTAGTGACATCAGGATGGTCCTGGACATTGCATTTCGACAGTATGGCTGTTTGTGAATTGACAAAGATCACAACTTTAGAATAGGTGAGTTCTTTATCTATTTCAGTCAATGCTGCAGAAATGGCTTTGACTTCTCCATCAAAATTTGTTCCCCAGCTACCAGCAGGGATGGATAACATGAAATCTTGGCAGTATACTCCTGCTCCTGCATTCCGCGTAGCTGTTTGAGCGGAGCCGTCGGTGTATACGTGGAGCCAGTTCTGCTCGGAGTAGCGGTTATTTATTGTTTCCAAAGCAAGCGCTTTCAATTCCCACTCAGGTGTTGGTGTTTGGTGTTTCTTAGTTACTAAATCATTTAATAAAAAAATGGACATGATGACAGCTATGTACAGTAGGTTAAAAAAATGAAAAGAAAGAATGTAATTTCAAGACAGATGCCAAAATCATTGTAGTTTTAGAAATTGTTTATATTCACAGTTTTTTATTTATTTACTGATCATTTATTACTAAAAGTTAAAATAAATTGTTCATAGGCAAGCAGTCTTAAGTTTCTCTTTTCTCCCCACTACCATAACGATAAAAAAAATTTGTTTTCTTAAAATTTAGTTTTTAAAATCTACATTTCTCTATGAAGTACTAATAAGTCACTCATTTTGAAAAAAAAAGGTTTAAATGAAATTAACTCCTCAAAATCAAATCAAGAGGAAAAATTAAAAGGGTTTTGAAATTCTGTCTACGATCATAGTTGTTCTAAGAAACAAATATTAATAAATAAATAAACTTACTGAACCCAGTGATAGTAAACTGAGAGCGATGACTATGGTCCCTGTAAAGTATGCCAGAAATATTGGAACTGAAAATATATCTGTCCAACGGTGGAAATTTCTAAAACAATGAAGAAATTATTGTGATCTATAGTGAAATAGAGCTAAATAAATTTAAAACTTAATCAATTAATTTAAATTATGAAATAAAATTTATAATATTTAAATAATTTATTCAAATGTATGACACAGTTTTTCATATGTGGATTATAAAATTTAATATTAGTTCTGGTGCAAGTGTCTTCTCATGGCCTCCTTTAAGATAGAAGGGTGGAAAAAATGTCAGCCACTTTGTTATAAATTGAAGAAAAAGAATATTCTTTAATTGAAATTTGCTCAACATTATTTATTACATATTTGTTCAACAAACATTACATCTTTGCTTTGAGCATAGAGAAAAAATTGTACTAAAATATTTGGTCGTAAAATAAGAAACAGATGGTTTATTTCGCCTGCAAAAATGTTTTTCATTTTACATTTATATTCAGGCTTTTCAGTGTTCCTCTTGATATGTATTTTATTTTACACGATAAAGCACATATGTTGGTATATCCAATGTGACTTCGAGGAATTAAGTGCATAAGTGCATTAATACAGCTTTTCACACCATACATTGGGCAAGGTAATGGTTGAACATAGAAAAAAAAAAGGTTACAATTTGGAAGTTTGATTGCATTAGTGAATTAGTAGTTTGATGATTATTTTGATTTTTCTTGTATTAGTAGTTTGATTAATTAGGTTTCAGAACTATAATTATACGAATGATAAATATACTAAAAATGTTAAAAGGTTTTAATAAAACATGTGAAAAAAAAATCTTTAAGTAATTACTATTTGAGGTATGTGGTATTTGGACCATAAGTAATTTTTTATAAAAAATACTTAATATGCCTGAGAAATAACATTATTTGTTCATGTGTTCAAATTATTATAAGAAAAACGTTGAGAATTTAATGATTTTTAAATATATCATTTTCTGTCACCCAACCACATATCTGAGTCATTATTGTCATAAATGTGAAAAAAATGAAATCTATTGTTTAAATAAATGTATTTCTCTTTTATATTTATTATCAATTTTATTACTAGATTAATTTATTTTTTCTTAGATTATTCTTAATTTATTCATTTAAATTCAGATAATTTTTGAAATTAAAAATTAGTTTGTTTTTTCTTTACTTTAATTTAAATAGTGAATTGAATTTAACAAACAATTATTTTATTATTAAATTTGTCTTGCGTTCTTCACATATGCATCTCTTTTTAATCAACTCTCCACTTATACAAGTTAAGATTTATCTTGCATAATATACAGGGTGTCCCGTAAGTGGAGAGAATTTTTTATAGGAGTGATAGCAGACCTCCAGTTCTACATATAAGTTCATATAAACAATGGGCCAATTTTCAGCTGAAAACTAGCAAATCCAAGTTTTGTGGTTTTTTAAGTGAGTCATGTTTTTTATTGAATCAAAAGAAATAACTAAAGAAATATTTAATTTAAGTAATTAATGATTGCTTCATTGTAAACAAAATGAAATTGGCTTTAAATGAACATAGAGTGTATCATTGTTAAAACCATTTATATAGCACTTTTGAGCGGCTAAACTAAGGTAAGTTCTGTTTTTAGAAAAATCATAAAATATTTGTCATTTTTTTTATCACCATACAGCTATACTACTGTTACTCCACTTTCACAAAAATTTCTTTGTTTAATAAGCTTTAAGTTCATATTAAGTTAATTAAGCTGTAACTATGTTTGTACAATTGAGTAATCTGAGCTCACAAATTACTATATCTAATGATTTTGTTTCCATCATTGAACTTCTGTTTAAACTTTATTGTTTTTATTTTTAATGTATTTTGTGAATCAATAAATCGTTTCTCCACATCTTTTTTTAATAGTAATATTAAAATGAACATATGTTATTTCGTAGGTATACTAAATAATATTTATAGACAATTATTTATGTATCGAATAGTAATTATTTTATTATTTTTTCACACGTTTTATTAAAATCTTTATATTTTTACTTTCACTTATCTATATATGTAATGTTTAGTAAGGGAGGGCTTTCAGGCTGAAGTCCCCCCCTCTCCCCTCCAAAATGGTAAAATGTAACCATGTTTTACAGAAAAAAATATTAAAAACTATCTCTTAAAATATTCTTGTTCATGTAATTATATTTAATAGGACTTCAAGAACCACTTAAACACCACTTTATATAGGTAATTAATTTCTTTATTTGTTTTCAAATTAATTATCATTATATGTATATGAAAAAAAAATCTTTCGGGCTCAATCCTGGATCCGCTAGTGATAACCTTAAATACATTTACTGCAGTTTAGTGATTATAGAAATGATATTATATTTAAATAATTAGGTATCAACGTTTATTCCGAAAAGTTGTCATGTAACAGTTTAGAAAATTAAATTAGTGAATAATTTGATGAATTTTCCCTTTGGTAAATCCCAACATTATCATATCTTCCTATAAAGTACTTTTAATTTGGTTTATTATAAATAGTAACTATTTATCATTGTTAGGAGTTATGGAAAAATGCTAAATATAACTTTTGGAAGAAGATAATAATTAAATAAATGAGAGAAAAAAAAGAAAAATATTTATCCAGGTTGAAAATGAATATTCGGAAATAATAGTCAGAAGGTATACGTATAATATATCTATCGTTGGAAAGCGGAGATTAAAAATAACAATATATAATATAGAAAGTTGTAGAAGGTAACGGAGAGTGACGAAAAAAATATAAATAATAATTTCTACAAACTAAAATTATTTAACGTAAATCAGGTGTTTTCAAGGAAATTAAATGAAATTTACTAACTAAACGTAAACATTTAAATTTTATTTCAAGTTAAAAAAGTATTTAAAATCCACGGATTCAACGCAAAGACATTGTTTGAGATACTATTTCATTGCACTTGTGTGAAATAAGAAGTGAAATATAAAAATATTTCTTGGATACGTTTATAACCTTAAATATATTTACTGTAGTTTAAAATAACTCTAGATCTGATATTATATTTAAATAATTAGATATCTGTCGTCCATTTATTTCGAAAAATCATTATGTAACCGTTTAGAAAATTAAATTAGTAAATAATTTGATAAATTTTCCCTTTGTGATATTGCAACAGAATCTACTTACAATCAGTATCACAAATTATGACCTGTATATGACAGACAATGCAAATCTCTCAATTCCGTTTTAATAAATTTTGCAATGGAAAATAATAGTTTAATAACTAATATTCGTACATTCAATCAATCAACAAATAGTACAGTCCTAAAATAAATAGGCCTTTTCTTATTTTAATAGTATTTATGATTTTTTAGGTGTAATCTTTAACTTTAGCTCAGTTAAAAATGCAATTCAAAAATTTTATAATAGGCCAACATGGCCAGAAAATAATTTGAATTCAAAGTTGAGCGGTAAGTGAAAGTGCTGTGCGCACCAGATATCGTATAATCGTATAAATATAGTTTTGATCATTTATAATATCCTTGAATTTTAATTAATTTTTTTAATTATTCTGTTATTTAGAAGTTGTAGGAATAGTACCCTACCATAATAGCTTCGGTAAACAGGGAGAGTAACAATTCCGCAATATTAATTTGAAATAAATTAAAACTTTGTTAGAAGCTCATTTAATATCGAAAAAGTGTAGAGTATTTATATATATATATATATATATATATATATGCAAAAATATTTTCCAGATTTTTCGAACGGGAACATAAATTTTTGATCATGATTTTGTCCAATGATATGGCTTAAACATATGACGAATATAAAATATAACGGCCATACTACTCGGCCAAAGATTATTGAATACTTTGACAAACGTTTGTCATAAGTGTACCCGTAACGTTAACTTAGTTTTTAACAGTGATATGCTCCATAACAAAAATTCGTTAAAAAAAAAAAACATTTAGAAGCACGCTATGCCTATGATAGCATTGGAATAAGAAACAAATTGAATAAGGATCATTTTAAATAAAATATGATGCAAAGAGTATCGATAACGCCGAGGCTCAGTTTTTTTTTATTACATTGTTAAGTATGTACATGTATCATGTCATCGGGCAGAGTTGAGAAACTTATTTCATAATAAACGATATGGGATGGTCAAAGTTTTTGTTTGCTTCTTTTATTTTATTTTGTGTAATTATATTATAATATATAATGCCCTTATATATTAATTTTGTTTTTATTATAAGTGAGAGATAAATAGTTACATAAATGTCACTTATGAGTCCAAAATGAGTCATAGATTCGTGTATTTGTGATTGCTCAAATTCTTGTTAACCTAAATGAAAATATATTGCGTTTTATGCTTTAATTTCTACTTGTTTGTTTCATTATTTTAAAATATACAGTGGATCAAAAAAGTATTGGCACGCCCCAATTTTTCTCCAAATCTCAATAGGATTAATATATTTTCCAGAAATAATATTTATATAACACGGTGGCCGTTGATAATTATATTTTAGAAGCAATGAATGTTCGGGGTTCAAAAGCTATGTTTAAGGTAAACACAAAGAGTAAATTTTAAGGGTTCAACAAAGTATTGGCACAGTTTGGAATGTTTACTATTAGGTACAGTCAAAACAAATTAATACTTTTTATTTCAAGAAAAAACAGAGAAAGAAAACGAGGATTGATGATAGTACAATGAAAATAATAAAAAACAAAACTTTGCTGTATATTTTCAATGATAAAATGGGTAAAACCAGTGAATATTGCGTCAGTTTAAAAGAACATATCGTTAAATTATATTATAATGAACATAGTGACCGACTAAGAGCGAAAAAATTAGAAATTGGTTTTAGTAGTGTTCAAAATATTGCACAAAAGTTTAGAATGTTTTAAACATACCCTTTTCAGAGCGGCAAAAAAAATTTAATGAGAGGGCACAAAGGAATATCCATCGCCCATTGTTCAGCAAAATGAAACTTGCTAATGAATCAGCTATTTAAGCAGATAGCAGAAGAGGACGCATTTACTTAAATTACCACCAGGGGTGCCCAGAAGGGGTT